GAGTGATTTTACAGACAGAGAGAAGGTGACAGTTTTTACTGCATAGTATAGGACATCATACATCATGATTGAATTGCTAAACAATTATTGAATATCATGAAAAGAATAAGAACATGAAAACAGAATAAAATACAGTCAGGTAAAACTCAAAGAAAATACGCATCGAGAATCAAAAGAAGTAATAGAAATAAGAATAAAACTATAAAAGTATTCATCTTCTGAAAATATTCCGGGACAACAATTATACAACTTCTGTATTGGACTCGACTCTTAAGATAATATAATTGCGTGGTACCTCACATACTAACTTATATCTCACTTTTCAATGAGAAAATTGTTTGGTGTAAGCGGTTTTAAGTAAAATATATTCGATTATAAAAGACAATGAAACTTTAAGAAAAAGCTGGAACTCATCAACCTTTGAGTTTGCTTTTTTTTCCTGTTGAAAATACACATTCACACAAATCCCAAAACCTAAGTGCTTTTCATTTTTTTCTTCTGTCGTATGACTTTTGACTGATTACAGTGTCTATTTTTGTATTTAAACTTGGTTTAAACTTTCAACTTGCGTGAAGAAAACACAGGTACGTTATGCTCATTGTAGACTTTAAGTATTAACATGTAAAACCGTAGAATATCATGCAGCCCGTGTACTTTACGTTATACTGTTATAGGGAAAGAGAGAACGATATGTAGATATGGAATGATAGAGGCCGGCCAGGAGGGAAAATGTGATAGAACATGAATCGTTTTCTAACCGATTAAATGTCTAGTTTGTATATTAGATGATTCATCATGTTCCCTAGAACTGGATCAATGCAGTGCTGAATGATAATATCAATGAGAAGACGAGGTTAAAAATAGCATGAGAAATTCTATTAGTACTTGGGGGGGGGGGGGGGGAAACAGGGGGAAAAATTCAAAGGTGTGCTCACGTGCATACAATGCGAATAATTATGTATAACGTTTGCAGAGGTACCGTGGTCTAGTGGCTAAGTCATGGGGCTGTGGATCAAAATGAAAGGTCCTCGGTTCAAGCCCTGCGCTCATGACATTTGACATCCGATGACCCTGGTAATAATACACTGCAAATACGTAACATAAGAATATGGTTAGTAGGAGGAGGAGGAGAAAAGAAAAAGATTAGAGGAAAGACGGCTAGGGAGGTAGAGGGAGCTTATCCCCTCACTCTGGTAAAGAACCAGCCCATCACCATGGTGACATGTCTCAACAGCTCCCAACCAACATGGGGTTGAAAGGAGGACGTTTTCTTATATTTGCCATCATTTTCAGTTTCATGTTTCTTCTTCTTCTTCTTCTTCTTGTTCAAGATATCAATCATTCATTGAAATTGCTATAAATATGCATAACTGTACGAAATGAGTGTGTACAATGATTTGTTTGTCCGATCCTCAATCAAGTTGATTTTAGGCATCTTTATGTCTTTGCATTGATAATAGGATGAAATAAATCTTTTAATAAGTCTGAAATTGTCTCAGGGCTAGAGATTCGCTTGGACATGGTTGCTTGACGTCCCCCGTTTCAAGAATAGTGTCAACAGCTTGATGATCCTACGGCATAAGTGCTGGAAACACACATAAGTCAATCTTCATTTCCGAGATGTTTTCGTAAAATCAACGTGTTTCAGGTACTACAACTTTTTCAGAATCAGGCTCACTTGTAAAACGTATGTTGAGCGCAAGAAAGGCTTACCGTAACCTTGTTTTTGTTTAAGTATACAAGTTTTCATCCTCTGGTTCGCAAGAGACAAAAGACCATGTCAACATTACCTCCACGTGATACACTCTGCATTGTGTTTCGTATTCAAATTAATTTCGTTATTAAAGGTATTACAAAGTTTTGGGAAATTTTGAAAAATGGGTGGATAGTGATTGTTTACAATTTGGATGTATTTGGATGCCCCTGTGGATGTATTAAAAACACTAGAATCTTTAGTCCCTAGAACACTTCTGCTTTCGAGAAAATTTGAATATAAAGATTTAACGGTGCTCCCGGTAAATTTTGATAAATTTCAAATAGCTCCTACGGCCGTACAATGGTAACTGCGACCATGACAAACTCAGAATATGTAATTGTGGTATATAATTTCCGAACAGGAATAGCTAATCGGTCAATTTTAGTCAAGAAACATTGTTTTATAGCTTAATTAATATCTTGACCTTGAGAGGGAGCTATAAAATAAGTGTTTATTATTTACAACTTCATAACTTTAGAGTCGATTTCGACCGCGACAACGATCAGTGAATATTGTAGGATCGCATATGCTTCCAATATGTTCATTTGAACCAAATTCACGACCCCATACCAAAACTTTGTATTACCTTTAATTAAGCTTGGAAGTCAGTATGAACCCTTCATGCACCGTATGCACGTATACCTTGCCTTTGCTTGTTCAAATCAAATGATTTTCGTCTTTGAATTCTCGAGCAGAGCTACATAAAATGCGAGGTGTGTTTACATTTTTTTTCCTCGTTATGTCGCATTCTTTCAAAGGTTTTTGGAGGATGACTTCCCTGAGGAACATGTCCCCTCCCCTGCTAATCACCCATGATCTAGTGTTTTGCTTCTTTTGTTGATGCATATGACGTAATTGTGTTTCTTTGAATATCTGAAAACTATAGTTCAGCTGAGACATGCGATATGGAGCCGTTGCATTTAGAATCTACATTTGACTGACAAGCTAAAAACCTCTTTCAGTCTTATTTAATCCCCAAATTTATTGTGTAATCACCTCACTATAGATTTTAACAAATGTACGCGGGCACCTATAGCCGCCAAATATTATATGAATACATCAATAACATATTCTGTCATATGAGGCTTTTCGGGAATCTTGCTTCAAAGATTTATCAAGTTTCTAAAAGTTGCGAGCGGGTGAAGCGAAGTCGTGAGCTTGGTAATAATGTAATTTCGATATAAAGATAATATATTCGGGAATCTCCCTGTCAAATAGAAGGATGTTCGGGCAACTCTTTGCCCAAATATAAAGGTATTCAGAATCTTCGCTGCCTGGAATCATCCTGTTTCTAAATGTTGCGAGACAGCGAAGCGAGCGAGGTAGAAAATGACTTAAATATATTTAAAATGCTATTTCGTCATGAAATTTAACTCTAGTAGTTTCTAATACTTGGTTTCATGAAATCGACGTTATGCCAAAATGATTGTTTTTATATAAATAAAAATCTCTCGCGGCACCCTGATTGAAAAACGTTGGTCTAGACATTGACTTTTATGTCTATACATTTAAATCCATTCAAGGTGATTTACCAAATGGCCTCACTTAATAATCAATTTTGATCACATATTATGATAATTGAGCCACAGTCAACAACACAGGCTTCATTCAGTAGTCCTTGGCAATCTGTGTATGTATTTGTTTAATTATTTCATAACAAAAACATGTTTACTTCTTTACTGTCTTGATCATTACAAAAGAAATAAGTGAGATACATTCACTGTATAATTGTCAGAAATTATGAGAGAAAAGGGGAGAGTCACAGAGAGAGAGAGAGACAGAGACAGAGACAGAGAGACAGAGAGAATGGGGAGGCGAAGAGTATACTGTGTATATAGGGTGGGTGTCTGTAGGAGTGAGGAAAGAGAGAGAGACAGAGAGACAGAGAGAATGGGGAGGCGAAGAGTATACTGTGTATATAGGGTGGGTGTCTGTAGGAGTGAGGAAAGAGAGAGAGAGAGAGAGAGAGAGAGAGAGAGGGGGGTGGATGAGAAGAGAGGGAAACTGAATATGAAAAAGAAAGGGGAATGTGATAAAGGGAGTCACAAAGAAAGAGAAAGTGAGAAATGAGCTGACAGAGGGGAGTTTGTAACATTTCAGAGAAAGGCGTCAAACCATCTGAGAAAGTAAACATGTGAGAGAGATACCACGGGAATGGAGAGTGAAGGAGGAGCAGAGAGAGAGAGGGAGAGAGAGAGAACACAGAGAAGTGTTGGTCAGAGAGGAAACGGGGTATAAACACACACGAAATCAGACCGAATGCCACATGGGAAATTCAGGATAGTGCACTAAGAATTCAATTTGGAGAAAAACATGCATTTTACAACTTATTGGAAAGTCAGAGTCGACTACATGGTCTTCAATCTAAATTCAATTTTGAAGTGATCCATCTGGACAAATCAATATACACTGTATCTCACACCCGGACATTCATCCCCCAAAACTCCTTTCATGTTATTTGTAGAAAAACAGACATTACACAGCTATATACCATGCTTAAGGCCACATATGACAACACAGTCAATTTTTTATATGAACTTCAGTATTTTTACAGCTTTCTGACGCTGCAAACAAAATATGAGCATAGCACTGCAGGGCATGCCTGCATGGAACAATGTTATTCATTTTGTAAATAAACGTCCTTGCTACATCATGTAATATGATTCGAAACTACATCCGGCCCACAGGCGAGAGAGGGACAGGGAAAAAAATGTTGGATGAACGTCATGATTTTTTCAAAGTATGTTATTCTAACTCAGCACCATTTGCCAGTTCATTAACCCTGGAGTCTAACAATATACAAAAATGCATTTTAAACTAAAGTTCCTATGCCTATTCTGAACTTTGAAAAATATGCCTTTTTTAAGTCAGAGCATATCACATAATTATAATAATTAGTGGGTCGAAAACAACCTTCAGTCACGAGAGATTAAAAGGTTTTAAAACATAAAGTGCACAATATCATTTGACGGACATGTACATCAAATGCACATAAAATAGGAACATAATGACAGGAAGTCTTATAACACTCTAAACATGATTTTCATACCCATGGACGATAGAGTCAGTGAACTGATGGCGAATAGTCTACTGAATGGACATTAACATAATTTCCCTTTTTTTTTTCTTTAAAAAAAATGTATCAACTCTGCATATCACAATTCACACTTTCTTCACTTGCCTGTGAAAACATTGAAATACACAGTACCCGTCCGCATCCCATAAATAAAACACATGTAGCTCATTTAAAGTCACAGAATGCTTTATTATCAATCACACATAATTATTACTGCACAACTTCAAGGCTACAACATAAAACATAGTACATGTACTTTATTTGAAACATAGAACATAATGCCCAACACTTTGATTTTTTTGTGTCACTAGATTCTGCCAGTTAATCGACATTCTCTTTGTATTAGACTTTAATTACATAACTTCTATGAATATGCTATCGTTTCATATCAAACTTTATTATTTATTAAATAATAATTTCAATTACAGTAATATCATATGAATGCTTATATTACATTGTGTGATTATTGATTATTTCTTTAATGTGTAAGAGTGTCAGAATTTTTTAAAATTGGACTTTACAAAAATATACTGATTTATCAAAACACGTTATAAGAGAAAATATATGAATCAGAAACAAATATCTGACGAGTAAGCAAGGCACAAAAGTCTACTTTGAATTCTCTTGTATTTGGAAGCTATCACATCATATATCACAACCTTTCTTCAATAACATAGATACATACTCCATTCCTGTCAATACAGTGTGTATCAGGCAATCCCTAAATCTACTTTGTCATGATGGGGACATCATATGATAAAAATAAACATCCCATTTCCTGGGGATCACCAAAATGGGTTTCTTCCAATACTGTATCATGAACGAAATGTGAGCTCCCTCCATCCTTATAAAAACATTCCCAAGTATATGAATATAGCTTTGTTTTCAAACCATTGATTTATATTGCTAAAACAATGTAGTATGATTGTACATGTCCACAATAAAAATGTGCTAAATGTGGAATTTGAGCTCCTGAGGTGATGAGCTTTTGAGAACCATTAGCTGGGAGCTAGAATGGTGCTAACCCTGTGTTAAAATATAGGAGTCAACGCCCTACTGGCTCTCAACTGATAATTAAAACAGATATTATAACTGCATTTTAATAGAGAATTACTGGTAGGCTATAGCAAACTTGCAGTCATACATAACCTATTTCCATTGCCTTTTTTCTTTGATTACAATATCAAGACAACCTTTATTCCTCTTTCTGTTGGAATACATTCACCTTTTAATTTTCCCATAAAATGCCGTCCGTCGATGTTACCTCAATAACTCAATTTCTAAGGCTTTACTTCAAAAGATATAGGAATTGTGCTCCTCATGTTATCTGGCAAACAACTAACCCTTGATATGAAGTAATTCAAATCACTCATATCAATCAAATTCAATCACATAATTACTCTACCCTGTCAAGCTTTTCTAGTCCTGAGTTTCAACATGTTTTATTGTCTGTGGTGCTGACAAGTGTAAAAATACAACTATGGGATACATAAAACAAAAACAAAAACAAACTAGTTGTTAGTTGAACAATAGTTAATGTGCATTGCAGTTACCTAAAGTTAGGTTAACTAATAGAGAAAAAAAAGTATCAAAATTTGAAATACAGCCTGAATTGTTCCATAACCATAAAAATGTTATATTCATGATGAAAACTATAATTTGCTTGCAACTGGCAAGAATAGAAACTATAGAGTAAATTAAAAGGTTTGAAAAACAAGTAAAAAAGTAATGATTACAGATTTTAAAGTGGACATACTATGTTTTATTGCATTCATCATAAAGGTCCGTCTTATAAACAGTTGCGATTAATCTCAGCTTATTTGCAATTTAATATATCAATCACAATTGTACATAAGATATAAGAGAGTGTAAACTTGTAATTGATTGGAGGACTAGGAATAGGAATTGATTCAGATCAATCTCAACTCTTTATAAGATGGGGCACAGTATATCACAAACTCGACACTTACTCCCATGCAATGTATACTATCTTTTATTTTAAAGAAAAAAAATGTAATGCTTTATCACGGAAATATCGAATCCACAAATGTTCAGGTTGCGTCTCCAGATATCCAATAATAAACAGGGAATAAATGTTTACAGTCATTTTATGACATCATATCCATACTGCGAAAATATATCTGTGAGAGAAGATATATACTACACAAAGGCTTCTCTTTACACTTACACACATCATTTTATTGCAGGTGAACAGTTATTATGATGGACTCAGTGACAAAGACAGTAATGAATTATCTATTTTTGAATTCAGTATCACAAATTAAACAAATACATGTACAAGGATGGAATACATAACAAATCCTGAAGATAATACAAATACTTGGAAAAATGCATACATACCATTCTCTCAAATACCGTGCTTCAATGGACAAATCAGCCAAAGTCCCCATACCCTAGGGCAGGATTATTATTTGATTATTTTTTTCTTTTTCATTTATTTTCTTCTATTCATTTTTCTGGGCAGGAAATCCTTAAATGCAAGACATTCATGTATAAGTCATCAAGCTTAAGATGCTTAATTGATTATGGTATTCTATACCTCTTTTAAACGTAACATGGTAAACCAACTCTCAAAAAGTTGGTGACAAAGTAAAATGACATTAAGGTAGTGAGTGCACTTCCCATTTCTGTATCTTCCATCCAAGTCACACTGCCAACCAAGACTAAACCAACTCCAAACAAAACTCTTGGCCATTTGGGGGTAATGTCTTGTTAAGTTTGGTCTATTGTGAATCAGGTATCAGTCTCATCTATGCTGACTGAGTCATATAACACAGATATGAGTACAGTAAATATGCTTAGGAGACTTCCATGTGCATACAGCTACTTTTTCTTTCATTTCCACCTGCCTTTTATAGATATCTACACAATTGTACTTATTGTGTTGAGACAAGTTTGTATAATGATAACAGGGATAATCCAAGAGATGGAACGACTAATGGATAATTAAAAAAATCCTTTTGTTTTGTGCAAATAAATACGACACAAGTACCCGAGAGAACAAAACTGCAAAACATATTATACAAATATTGTATGATCACAACAGTGAGAGTAATTATGTGAATTAGTTTAGAGCCCTGATTGCAAAATAAAACATTACTCACAATTTCACCCCACTGCACAAAAATAATGATGAACATGATACATATGAGCATGCCATGTGCAGGATAGAGACAATCAATCCACAATATGAAGAAGAACAACATTAAATGATAAAATAACTTACAACGCAGTTTCTCCTGAATCGGTAGATCATACAACATTAGAGAGCTTCTCATTCATTTCAAATGTAACCATCTTAGACACTAAATTACAACAAAAATCAGCGAAATTCACTACCTATTTGCAATATGTGTACCTGTACACATAACAATTGCCAGAACTTCCACACATAGGAAACCGGCTAAATCAATGACTTATGCAACCAAACTGTTTCATTTGTCTTTATTCATTAAATTAAATGATGAAATAACTTTTAAAAAGCAGCATATCCTAAATCGGCAGATCATACAACATTGAATAGCTTCTCACTCATTTCCAATGTAACCATCTTAGACACTAAATTACAAAAAAAATAGTGAAATTTACTACTTATTTGTAGTATGTGTACCTGTACATAAAACGATTGCCAGAACTTCAACACATAGGAAACCAGCTGAATAAAAAAAATTATGCAACCACACTGTTTCATTTGCCTTTATTCAATAAATGTTATCACTACAAAACATTTAATGAGCACTACATTTCAGCAATAGTTTCAAATAAATATTTCCTTGTTCATTCAAATCTTAATCCTAGACTTTCCCTTAAAATCAAACAGAAAAACACATTTTATATCGGCAAGCCTTTTTCAAAATTGTGTGCTTTCAACAACAGGAGATGGCGCTCTTCCATTTTCCTTCTGATCCAACATAGAGTAATTGTTTGCATCATCATTCTTCTCATCCCCGTCAAATGCATTTCCACTCCTTTGGTCAATCTAGATAAGAGATGGATGAATGACAAAATAAAGAAAACATTAAGAGTAAAAAATATAGACAAAGTCTGTACAAGTTCCAAAAATAAAAACAAGTATGTATCACTGAAATGTTGACCTCTCTTTTACATGCTTGTCATACGTTAAAGAGTACACACATCATACTGTCTCACATTCACACTGATTACCTCATCAAAGTTGACTCCACAGTCGAGCTTCCTTCTACAGTTAGCAGGGAAGCAACAGAAGAGCTTCCTTGAGATGGGGCAGATCAACCTAGGATCCAACTCACTTGGTCTGGTTGCACCTGATTGAACAAGAGAATTATCAAAGATAACAGATTGAAGGCTGTGGTTGGTACATACATATCTATCTCATGGAGTGAATTGTGCACTGGGTTTTTAAAGAGTAACCATAAAAGATAGTTTGTAATAGTAACAGTGAAAACAGTGACCCCTTTCCTGAAACAAATTCAATATTTTGCACAAATTAAAATAAACGTAGCTATATGGAGGTTAGCAGAATGGACTTCTCAATGTTATACATAATATTTTCAGGCTAAAATATGAAGGAGATATTATACGGTTATGTACTTTACATTTCAGCATGATTAAAAGTGAGTAAGAATACGGAATCATGAATGATCCTCGCTGTCTGCATATTTTGTTAATTAAGATCCCTTACATGTAAATCATCTGACACCATTCTTCTTAAAGTGAGCTGATTCCTGTTTAATGTAAAAGTATTTTGTACTGGTGGTGCCCCCCCCAAAAAAAAAAAAAACAACAACAAAACAAAACAAAACATGTGTAAACTTTGTACTACAAGCATTGCATTTTTGCTTATTGCAGTTTTTCAGAGTTTAAACCTATACACATTAAGGACATATATCCACAAAAAATTTATCTTGCTTTGTGATATTAAATACCATTGACTATGTCACAAAATGCAGATAAATTTTCTAGATATCCCTTATTCACTCTCCACTTTTTTTGAAGCAACTGCTAATCATAGGTAGAGGGGTACTAAAACCTCATATCATGTGATTAGATCCAGATACCCTATCCAGCGGTTTCTCACTCCTGTAGTAGCTAGCTTACCTGTGAGGAAGCTGGTTAGCAGACCAACAAACAGCACCACTGACATAGCAGTGAAGCTATACCATAGATAGGATATACTGTAGAACTTGGCTATCCGTGGGCTAACATTCCAGATAAAGACAAAGAAAGAACATGGAATAATTGAGATCAATTACAAAAAAGGGTGAACTCGATACATATTTGTTTGATTGCAATTGAGTAGCATAATCAAATAATGACTTAGAAGAACGAGCGCTTGTCATCATTGAACTGTCACAATTCTAAACTTCATGAAACAGTATTTCCTTTTGTGACTGTACAGAGAAACAAAAACAGTTTACAACTTTTTTTCCAATCAATCTGGGGTCTACTATTGTACTTCAATAAAACTCCCATTTACTACTTCCACAACAACTTAGCTTCATTCCTCTGACATAGCACTATGATAACATACACTTTAAGTATTTTTTATTTAAATCAATAAATACAGATTTTATTAACATTTCACATGACATGAATGCCCGAGTGGCATATTCACTGGTGTGAAAATAGTGTCAATAGGCATACACAATAAGCACCAGTTATCACAAGGATTTGCACTGTCTATTACAAAAGAATGACATAACCTGTGTAGGTCTCAACCCATTGGCTACTGAATTCTTTCATTTCCATAGGCTAAATACAGAAACCACCCAGTTCCAGTAGACAGTAGGTAAATTGGCTACTAGACAAAACCTCTGACACCTGTATGGAGTAGTTTTACACTAGATATTTTAAAATCCAATGATAAATCCACCCCTTTCCACCTACAAAATGTGGCAGACAAATTTCATTTGAGTGGCATAGCAAAGAAAGTGAAATAATTTAAAAGAATTACAAAGAAATGAAAATATGCTTACTATGGTTCAGGTACCATGTCAGGAAGTGAGGTAACATTGGCCAATAGATACAAAGGAATGTCGGTTGTTATGTCAGTTATGTTGGTCAGAAAACATCCATCAATAGATGTGGGAAGCTTGTCGGCCATTGGAGGATAGACGTAAGCTCCAATCCCAATCCAGAAAGAGAAGGCAAAGCCAGTCAAACCACCAACAATAGCACCCTGAAAAAGAGGGATAATAAAAACATAGATTATAGAGGAGCGGTCACAAAATTATACATATTGAGCATATCATTAGAATACATGAACTTGGCCATGCACCATAGAAAATATGCAAGTGGTTAAGGATTGAAGAGCCAAAGAAGGGAAATGACTTCCCATTTCATATTTACATGTACACTCACTTGGAGTTAACGTTGAAATGCATGTGTGGGCATATTGGTCCAAAATCTTTTTTTTTACTTGTTTGACATCGTGTGCAGTATGCTTCTGATTTACAGAATAAGATCACTTAAAAGAACCATGTGATCTGAATTTACTCCAATACTACAATTAAAATCACTAATTAACATACAATAATTTACTAATCATAATCAAGAGAGTGATTGGAAATAAATAACTTTCTTCCTCCATAAAAAGAGTCCACTTTGTTCCAGATCATCAATGTATGAATTACGGGTACACGCAATAGGCCTTGTAAATTTGATCACTAAAGGCTTGTTCAGATATGGCGAGCCAAACTGCCACAAAAAAGCTGTGGCGTTTAAAAAAAAATGTGTAAATGAATGGCAACTGCGCTCAACAAAGGACTTGCCTTATTCACCAAGCTCTGTGTTATAAAATACAGTAATGTAAAGCATATTACACTTTATGTCATCATTAAAAACCTGCTGTGGTTTTGCCACATTCAAGTGGAGTCTCAAGGGGAACATTGTCAATCAACAGGATTAGCCTTCAATTTTAAGACTATCAAGCTTTATGTAATGCTCTGACTTTTCCCCATTTAGTAAATTCCCTATCTGACATTTGCACTATTCGAAAGTGCTCTGAAAGACAAGGAGGTATTTGTTGAATGAACTACGAGTTTGCTGTGTGCAGACTTGTACACCCATTAATGGTATTCCCACCATGTCTGGTGTCAGGGAGTTATGATCTTCTGCGCATGGAAGCTGCCAACCCACCCACTTTAAACGTCAAGATCATACGTTGTTGTTGTTGTTGGTTTGAATGGCGTTTTCCAAGGTCGTTGAATGTTGCTCATACTCACTTTATTGTTTGACCAAGGGAAGACAATGCCCAGTGTAAACATGCCTAGCAATGGTCCTCCTATCATGCCCATCAAACCGATAGCGACAGTGAGGAGAGGGCCCAGCTTGGATGCTACAAAGGCCATCCCAATGGCTAAGAGTCCATACAGGATTGCTGGAAAACAAAAACAAGAAGTATAGATTGTCTTGTGAATTGGATATGATTATTTCTATAGCAAATTTCTCTTTGATGTGGATTTTAAATATAAATATAACATACAAGCCAAAGAACAACAAATGGAGGGGTAGGGTATGCGTAAACAAGTAAAATGTCATACCACACCTAGGTCATTCATTGAGTAAGAATATGTCTGTTTTTCCTGTCTATTTTTTTATATATTTTTTTATTTAAATATATTTATTCAGGATAACAAGAATCAGATATACATTGTAGATACAAAATCTGTTTTACATCATGGTCCTGAACAGGATAAAAATGTAGTACATGGAAATATAAATAATGAATATCACCAAAGCTCACAAGCAAAGGTAAGAACAGTATAAAACTAACATATAAGAATAATACACATAAAATCTAACAGAATGCTAGACTATAAGATTGGAGAGAAAAGGAAAGAGAAAGAGAGAGAGAGAGTTCTGATGAGTTGAAACTTTTTTGTAATCAAGAGTGAGAAAATAAGAAAAAAAATTGGTAGATGTGATTTCTCCTGATGGAAGTTCCATAAGATTTTAGTATCTGAACCTACCAAGGATCTTCGATATTGTGGTTCTCTTTGCATCTGAGAGATCTTTCTTGATTGGTCTGATGATGTCTTCAACTGTCACAGCAGCCAATGAGTTGAGACCAGATGATACGGTGCTAAAATGGAGAGAAAAAAAGCCAATATTTAAATTAGTCATTTCATTTCCAACAATTGTCACTCAATCTTTGTTTGAAATCAATACAGCCATTTTGCCCACATTACTTTGCATAGGACTACATGTATATCATATCATAAAACTGTATTATACAAAAGTTTACAATGACATTTAATCTCATGAACCCCAATGCAAAATACAATATCCCTACTGCTAACTTTCACAATTTGCAAAAAAATTGTTTCCCACAATGTTACGACGACTAACCTGAGAGTTCCACTGAAGATGGCTGCAATAAAGAGACCTGGTAATCCATGTAGAAAGCCTAGCTGAGTCACAACGTAGAAGGGAAGGAGCTGCAAATTGGATGGTGATAAGGGTGTTTTCATTATAAAATAAAGAAGTTTGTTTTGTGTTTGTAGATGAAGGTTTACTTTAGCTGAAAATAAAATTTGGATCCCATGTAGTGCTGATTTACTGTTAATGACAAGATATTATACAAATGTTCCAGTGTTCAATATAACAAAATATATGAACCAACTTATTCAGATTTTCCTGAGTGATGTAATACTTTACCAAGGCCATAGGCCAAGGTTGAAATATAATGGCACGCAGGAAATTCTTTATCGGAAGTTGGTTGGTTGGTTGGTTGGTTGGTTTGTTTTACTTGACTGTTAAGAAAGCAATGAAAGTAATGTTAAAGTCCTCCCCTAAGGACTTGGTAATGAGGATTAATGCCTTACCAAAGGGCTCCTGTGCATCAAATCGGTTTTGAACCCAGGACTTCTCGGTTACAAGACCACTGCTCTATCACTGAGCCATCGGGGCCCCACTTACTGGAGGTGAATATATGTTTTATTGAACAACGGTGCATGCAATATTTGTTATATGAAAATTGAGGGTATTTGTGATCCCATGCCTTGTCTAATTCACTTTTGTACGCATTATAAAGTGCAAAAGAGGTTGTTGATTGCATGTTTGTGCATAACAAATGTAGAGCGTTATGCGATACCTTTCATGCTTTCATCTAATGGAATACTTACTAACAAATACTCTCTTTTATTTCTTAAGATATGAAGTAATCAAGGATTATATTACATTATAGGGTCATGTCTGTACTTAGGAAACCACTCTTTTATTTTGAAGAAACATCTATTCTAAGCTGAATGGCTCAAGATTACATCAGTCTGGTGTTATAACTACCTCCAACTATTTGTTTAGCAAGAACAGTAGTTTCACAAGACATTAATAGCTCTTCTTTTCCTATCATTGTTCCCATGCTGTTACTGAGTACTTCCACAACCCATTTATATCAGACCTTATGACCCTGAAGTAAGACATTTCTGTAGCCATTAACAGGTCTAGAGAGGATTTGTACAAGCATTAGGTTTGATAGCACCTATGTAAAATAAAAGTAAGAGGTTACTGAAAATAGCGGATGTAACAATAAAATGTGGTACTATCAGATTGTATGATTGGCAAAGAGATTGTATTCAATTCTTGATATGAGACTTCTGGAATTCCAGACTTAATCTGACATTGTAAATAAGAAATCTTGTTTCAACTTGATGAATTTTCAAGTAATGTGATTTTGAAAGTTTTAATTGTACTTCCCACAACAATGAAGCTTTCAAATATCAACAATAAACATAAAAAATATAGCTTTCCAACAAATGTTGGTACTTGGAAAGATTACTAGTGGAGTCTAACATCGTTCTCTGCAGTGGCAAGCCTAGAGGTCCCGCCTGGATTACAACAAAGGCAAATCAAATGAAAACCTTGTTGAAATTTGCCAAACTTAATTCTTCCTAATCCTCTTTCGATCTCAATCTTGGATTTACCTGATCGCCATTTGTAATGTAGCCAGCTTTGATAGGGTCACAGTCAGCAAAGACTGCAAACATCACCAGACCGCACATGAGACACAGAGATACAAATATAAACAGCATTGGGCAGTTTAGGTAGATGGACCTGTAAAGTGAAAGATAGTTTGATGAAAGTATGTCATAATTCTGATGAATTTACACAAAAATTTCAAACAGGGCCTTAGTCCAAGTCTCAATTAAAGTAGGAATAATGCAATTATCAGAAATTATTAATGCAATGTATTGCAGACATTCGTATAGTCAGTAGACATTATCGCTGACAAATTAAAAAATATATCCATATGTTGCTATTTCTGGACCATGAGCACACGTACACATTCACAGTATTTAGGCATCAACTTTGACTTTGTAGCACCAAAAACAAATATTAATGTATTACCCTATGTCTCCTGAAAAGTAACCTTCCAATCATAACAACAAAAGCAAAAATAAAGAGACTGCATATAAGTCATTATACATCTATGTAAAATTCATTAAGTTTTAAAATCATGACTGAAAATTTATAACGCCCAGTTCATATTGATCTGTCAAACATACAAATATTCAGTGATGAACATGGATAATCATTTTTTTTTGTAACTATGTATATCATCAATCTATGATTGGCAATTAGAGCTATTCCAAAGTTTGCTCATAGATATGAACAAAGTCATTAATCACTCTGATTTCAACTAGTATTTCTAATCAAATACACCATTGGGAAAAAATAGATCATGGTCTTGTTGCAAAAAAACTTACCATTGATGGTAACCTTGCCATTAATGGTAACTTCTATGGAAATCTTGATTTGATTGGCCATTGAGTGATGTTGCCATGGTAGTTAATATTGACGGCAAGGTTACCATCAATCGTAAGTTTTTTGCAATAAGTCCCTTGTTTCCTTGTAAGGTTTCAGTCTGTTGCAAAACAAAGCCAACCCCCATAATTATATCGCTACGCATTCATAATCTCCTTTCTGCATACCATTTGGCCGCTTTGAGGGTGGGGCAGCTCAGGTAGCGCTGGACAGAAGCCTGGTTACAACCAAAGGTAGCCAGCCAATTGAATGTAGCACCAAATACCAGAGACCATACAGTGTGACGTATGGTAGGGTTTACTCGTATACTGCCAGATATTAAGGGAAGGGAAGGGAAGGGGAAGGAGGGAGTGAGGAAAGGAAAGACAGTGAGAGATAACAAACATCATTCAATAATCCAAGAAAAACTTCAGTAATAAAAATTCCAAGTCACATCTCCTGGTAAAATCTAATTCACATGTACATTATTTTCATTAAAAAAAGGAAGTTATTTCAAAAGTAAGAGTTGTTTTCATTTCCTATCAAAAATAAAAATAAGTACAGGATTATTAGCAAAGTGTAGATAATGTAAAACTTGAACCTATAGACCCATAAACGAAACAGTGGCCTTTCACTGTCTACCACATACAAAAACAGAAAATCAGTAACTTTCTAGACCTAGCATCTCTGGAAAGAAATAACTCACATTATCAGACCTCATTGGACAAATGCATCAGGCAAAATGAATTACATCTCAAACAAGAAGAATTTCAATACTATTTTATATTATTCACTCTCATTTTTTGTCTCTTGCAAGAAAAAAGAAAAACTTTTAGGTCAAGAAAGTGGACTTACTCATCAAAGACCACTCTACCGCCCTCATCGTTGATGCGCCAGACATTACCAAAGCCATTCATCTTGACCGAACCATGGATGATTACAGCTATGAGACAGGACACCATAATAAGGGTCTGGAAGACATCCGTCCAGATCACTGCTTTCATCCCACCCTAAAAAAAAAAAAGTGAATTAAGAAGTCTCTAAATTGCAACACACACACAAAAAAAGTTGCTAACACCTGGGGACGGGAGTCACATCATCACATGTATAGTCTACCTTTATCACATTATCTATCACATATCGTATCAACAACAAATCCTGCTATTCTCTTCAATGTTAGACGACATTCCAACAAAAATGCAACAATGAAAACTACAAACAGTTGGCCTTCACATAAATTACTCTAAAACAGATTTAGAATCCTAACTCATTGTTATACCTGTAAGAAACCAGTTGTATTCACCTGTACATTACCTTACAAAGAAGTCAGTGGCCCGTGGGGAGGAGTATACATCGTATGTATGGGCACATGGTTTGGAAAAACAAGGATTAAGCACAAAATACAGGCTGCTAAACAATTCTACACTTTAACCATAAATGCTACACAATTGAAGGCCTAGATAAGCTCTTTCTTCTCCCTTTTCTTGATATATTATGATTCCCCTGACATGACAAGGGTATGATATTTCACAGAGCCATATATTTGCATATATCCTAGTGTGTATACTTACCAATGCAGTATAGAATGCACACACCAGGCCAACAGTGAGAACAGACCCCCACAGAGTAAAACCAGTCACTGAACAAAATAAAAAATAGGCATTAGACAATCTGTGTGAGTATGATTATCGATGCAGTAACACTCATGCTCAAACGCCAGAAAATTGTATAAATATTAAATGCCTGTTATTCAGTATTTTAAATGGATGTAAAAGAGATGAGACTACATGTACATACCTGCGTTTACAGCCAGAGCAGGGGCATACAGCACTATGGACATGTACATCACCTAATAATAGAAAATTAATATCAATAAATATATGTGTATCAAATCTACAATGCTATCTACATGTAAACAAATTGTTTGTGTTGTGTTTTTAATTCACCAAGAACATGTTGAATGTTACCAAAAATATATCTCTGTATTGGAATTTGGCCAAAGTACATTTAATGCCTTTAAACGTATGGAATTAATACAAACACCGAATAATACAACAAACAAAAAAGCCCAAATTGCGTTCAGTGCGAAAAAAAAGAGGAAAAAAATACAAATACAAACACGGAATAGGGAGTCAACACAAATAATCTCTCAATAAATAGGCTTTTAAAAGCTGATGTCATTCTAGAAAGAAAACTTCAGATGTATATTTCAAAAAGAGACAAAGCTGATGATGACTACATGTACTAATGCCTGGAGCAATAACAATGATAATATATTTTTCCAATACACATAATTGGAAATCACAATCGGATCTGGATCATACATGTAATGCTGGTAAGGTGAGATATTGCAAGTACATGTATAATTGTATATAGACCTGAACTTCTGCAATACATACATGTAACATGATTTATAACTTACCATGTATATTACAAAACCTGTAGTCCCAATAAGACGGGCTGCGACAGAAAATCGCAACTCAAGATACTGGAATGAAGAGGGAAAAAAATTGATCACTGATTGAAACTGACAAATGGGAGGGACTGAAAACATTCAAGAAAGTAATGATTGTATTGTTAATTTTATAATGTGAAAGAGATGCATAAAGAAGAATATGAAATTAAGAGAAAGACAGAGAAGAGAGACAGACAGTTGTATAGGGAGTCAGGGACAAATGGAAAAGAGACACATGTAGGCCTATGCTGGAGGAGACCAAAAAAGATAAACTGTGGCAATCTTCTGGCAGATACGGGATACACGCAGGGAAAGGCAGAGAAAGGAAGATACAGGTACATTTATAACCATCTATCAGATGTATAGAGAGACAGAGAAAGAAACTGATACATTAAAATGTAGCTCCAGAGAGAGAGAGAGAGAGAGAGAGGAGAGAGAGAGAGAGAGAGAGAGGAAGGGGAGAGAGAGAGGTGGAGGGAAGAGAGGGGGAGAGGGGGAGAGAGAGGGGAGAGAGAGGGGAGAGAGAGAGAGAGAGAGGACGAGGTTAAGGGCAAGACAAACAAGGATGGAACATGGAATCTAATTACTCAGTACGTCACACAGTTATTGATCTTGTGAGCAGGTGAAACTATACTGGGCTTTCTTGGATCAATAACCCTTCCTCTGTATACTGTACGCAATCAGATCTTAACCTGACCATAACCTCCCTCTCTCTCTAAAAAAGAACAGCTTCAAAAGTGCTTCAATATTTCATTAAAATTTCAAGTGAGCAAAACACTCTATAATGTTCTAGTGATCTGGCACTGTATTCCCATTTTTTTAAGACCTTTCTCTTACATTTATACTTTAAAATGTTGAATTTGCATGAGCCTTTATTAAAGTATAAGGAGGTCTATCACACTTATAAAATACTGTACCCCGTAAAGTAGTATCGCTTCAGAAATAGTCATATTATCACACAGAACTGATTTCTAGCAACCTCTTGTGAATCCAGTTAATAAAAGAATTTACAGTCCTTATCATTCCTAAATACTACATTATTTGCTTTTTGATAAAAAACCAACTTGCCAATTCATAGGCTAGGGGCAGTTGATAACAGTGTTGACATTAACACAACTTACAAAACAGATTATATGACTTCACGAGTATAAATCTCATCCATCCCGAGCTACGTTCTCAGTCTTTCATTGGACAAGGACATGTATTCAGCAATGCACTGAACAATATAGTATACTTGTGGAGTATATTGTTTTCTAAGCACAAACTACTTGCATTCAATTTTGGGGCTACAGTTAAAAATGTATCCAAAAGGTTGGAGACATTGATATAAAACATATAAAACTGTACAACTTTTTCAGTATACAAATTGTAGTCTTCTCTCTCCCGGCCCGGTGCCCTAAATTTATGTTCTTCTGAACCTTTCTTTTTTCTCTCATTATTCTAGCCCATGACATAAGTGTATGTAAGCATGGAACAAAGTGAGTCATGGATGAAACAAAGGGGGCAAATTTCTCATTTGCCTTCTTCACAACAATCATTTTATTTTTAACCCGTTCTATAAATCTAATTTCTAACTCGCATCTGATGCTGAATTACCACGCTAGAATATGATTGTACCTTTACGTTTAACAAATGAATGCTTGAAAAATTACCTCATAGACACTAGTGAGGCGAAGATTATAAAATGTTGGGATGAATACATTTGCAGTTATGATTGACATGAAGATGTAACTCCCTCCGATATACCAAAACATGGTGCCGTAAACATACACCTCGGAAGGAGTTCCCAGAAGTGCGATAGCAGACATCCAGCTGGCAAGCAGGGAAAATCCTACTGGAACAAATGGCATCTTCCTGTCTGCCACAAAGAATTCTTGAGTGGTCTTTTGTTTTCCACCTGTACATGCATGGTAAATGCCTATAGAAGCCGATATGACCAGCACCATCACGAACACAACATAGTCAACGACAGACAGCCTAGCGCTGCCGTCGGGACCGGCGAGTCCATCTCCCGTTCCACTCTCAGCCGACATCTTTTCTGAATGTTGATTGTAGTGTAAAATCGGGGAGCTTCCGTCAATAGATCTACTTCTTCTAGAATAAAACTGGCAATCCTTGTTTTTATCCTTATAAACTCTAAGATGGGGTGGTATGTTCTGTCATGTTCGTGAACGAATGCACGAAATAACAACGCCAAATATTGGCGACAATGACACACAGTACTACTAATACGGCTTACAAATTATAAAACACATGCGATACGCTACGGTGTATGACGTAATCATACATACACGTGCGGTCGTAGTTTGTGTGGCGGATAGGATCCCGATACCGATAGGATACCAGCAGAAACATGCGGGGAGGGTTGGTGGTGAGGTGATGGTGGTGGTGGTGGGTTTTTCTTTTAGGGGGGGGGGGGGGGGGGTGGGTACTTGAGGATTATGCAAATCAAAAGACTTGACCCTTTGATCGCACTTATCGTTATTGTGGCATTGTATTCAGTGGCGTACGCAGGATTATTTTAAGGAGGGTGTTTGAAAATTTGGAAATCGCGCTGACCGATATTTCGCTCATTGGGGGTAGGGGGGGGGGGGGAGGGGGTGAGGGGTTGGAGGGAAATTCATTGGTGTGATGTGATGTGATCATTGTGGTTCTGATGCGATCCTCTATCATATTATTTAATAGGATACCTATCAAAAGAAGTACACACTTTGTAAATATCCTCACAAATTGTAATTTTAAGATATCTGCATGTTTTTTTCGTATGATTATGGGTGGGGGTCTATTCATTTGGATGGCATTAAAAGTATTGACAATATTTTACGCTTGAGTGAACACGGGATAATTTTGAAAGACATGCCATAACTGCCTAATTTGCAATTTGATCCAATCCCAGGCTGAAACATTTTTGCGCTTAACTTTTGCGAGTAATTCAAAATGTGTCGGTCCTCGCTCAAGCGCAAAATAGTGTCAATACTTTAAGTGCCATGCGATTGAATACAGTGGACCGTCACCCATAACTTCATTTTTGTTTAAATCATGCAAATGTCATGACATTAAAATTTGAAGGATATTTTTTAGTTTATACTTTTTTTGATACACACTCTACTGAAGCAGAAAAATGACAGAAACGGATGAGGAGTTGAGGAAACTTAATGTAATCAATCTAACAGAATCAGCAAATCTCAATTCCTTAGAAGGCATTTCTCCATGTTTGTAATAACTATTCAATTTTCTCCAAAGGAAATATTTCACCAAACCTGTGCCCCAGATAAAAAATTATTGCACACATTTTGTACAGCCCAACACTAGGAGATACATAAAGTCCTTTATCAACAACTTAAAAGATGTTTTTAAAACAGATTCTCAGTATAATACAAATGGATGGTTTCTCAAAAGGGAATTTTAAAATTTTCCCAAGCAACTTCTCCTTAACTGATATAATTTTAATGAATAAATTTATCCTTTACCACTTCTTCCTCAAACATTCTCTTGACCATGCTCTTGACCATTTCTCTCACTTTTCTGCACTAGCTTTCTACCTTGGGTGGACTTCCCCATTAACAATATCGATTATCTAAATTGATCTAAAATGGCATTTTAATTGTTGTTATATAACAGTTTCATTGCCATGACTAAGCAAAAGGTAATTAACAGCCTATGGCAAATTTATAGTAATCCAAATGAATCATAATTATATCTGAAAAAAAAAGAATAGGCCTGTCAATAAGAAAAGCGTGCTTGTAGATTCTCTTTGGGTTCTTATGATTGAAATTACAGAGACATATTAAGCTATTCAAGTTTGAGTGAAAAGTTAGTGAAGTTAAAGCTTTTTAAAACATGATATGAAAACAATTTTTAGAAATTGATTTCAATCCATCATTTATGACACACCATCAGAAAGCTTTTCAAAAAATTAACCTACAGGGAATTTCAGTAGCCCTTTGCATGTACCTTTTGAAATGAGCAAACATGAAGAGCATGATATTAAACATGAAATTGTGAACATTATTTATACAGTGCGTCCCAGAAAAAACGAAACCGAGAATTATCGATGTTTTATCATAACTTAATCACATTTATAATTAATAAATGACACTTATTTGGAAAGCTTAGATCCTCCTCTTTCATTTGATGCAACTCATTATGATGCATATTTCACGCATGAGTGATTAACATCCGTTTCGTTGACAATCAGTCATGCATGAAGTCTTTCGTCTACGGCTGATTGTCAACGAAACGGACTTGAGTCTTTTGTTAATTTCGTTTGTTGATACGGTAGGCAGCCTAGCTCATTTTTCCTGAATGAGGTGTCATATGAAAGGAAAGAAACTCAACTTTCTAGAAAAGTGATTTTCTCTTTGAAATTCAGATACCGCCCGCCAAACGACTTGTCGGTTTCCTCTCTTCAAATTGATTTTAATCACTCATGCGTGAAATATGCATTACGAGTTGCATCAAATGAAAGAAGAGGACCTAAGCTTTCCAAATATGTGTCCTTTATCAATTATAATTGTGATTAAGTTATGATAAAACATCGATAATCCTCGGGTTTCGTTTTATCTGGGACGCACTGTATAGGCAAAAAAAATGGTATTGAAACTGCCTTTTGAATTCATTTTTTATAAAGTCCTTGAGATAATGTCACATAAAAACACACACACCCTCACAAAACATCAAATGAACCTCCTTATGTACTCTTCATATCTTTCTTAGTGTCATCAAGGCTCTTTGCAAATATTATTATTATGGGCAGAATTTTTAACAGTAAATCAAAGAGGACACAATTCAAAATGACACACTAAGAGATCGAACTATGCTGCAAGTCTTCATGTTTTATTTTGCTATAAGACCTACATTTTAGTATTGATACATACGTTTGAAGCCAAATAAACAGCACAGTCTGTCGGCTTAATATGCCACAGGTAATACTTTCCATTTGATCGTAGAAAATAGCATGATACATTTGCTAAGCAATAAACTACACTTACAGTAACTATTCATACAATTTTATCTCTACTCGGATACAATATCATTGATTGTTCATGTTAGATTTAGTACAAGTCCATCACACAATACATGATTTTTTTTTTTACTTCATACAAACAAAAATAAACAAAGTGCTTTAACTCTTCACTTTAGAAATAAAATGTGCTTCACAAGCAACAGATATTTTCGGTAGTCATAATCTTGTCTTAATGTGGAGAGAAAGTAACAATCACTAGCCTACATAGATATTTCTAAATGAGTGAAACAAATCTTGCATGGCTCGAATTCCAAAATAAAAAGGAAAAAAAAAATCCAATATACCTATTCCCTCCTTATATTGAAGAGAAAAATAGTCAAAATGGGACTGCAACATGAATACAAGAAAATGTTGACGGATTGGACAACAAAAGGCAAAATACTCTAAATGTACACTACCCTCTATACTTCTCTTTTGTATCCATATATGCTCACAGCACTTTGTGATGTGATATAGAAGTTATAGAAGACTTCTAACACCTGGGGATGTCTAAAGGCTTGTTCACATACGCTGCAGTAAACCATGTTTTACCGTTTTGTTTAAAGCATAATAAAGTTTTGTATTCTATAACACCCAGATACACGAGTATGCCTAGCACCTTGTTGCATACAGCTACATTTTTCATCCCCACTTGCCTTTCATTTAATACAAGCAGAACCCCCACATATGTGCAGGACACCTGAAGGAAGCTGATAACATTCATTATTCAATCGCCAGTAGAAGAGAATTTAATTTTTCTATGCTTTTCAGAAGGTTAGATTCTAACAAAGTGGAGGACAGCACCATTCTAGTTTCTATAAAAATATTCTGGCACTTTATGACATGGAGTAAATGCCTTTCTGTGATCAACATGACGTGACATGATAGCAAATTATGAGATAAGTTTTACTGAGAAGGGATTCGTTATCCATATTCATTCAGGGAAATGAATACAAATGTGAATAGAGCACATCCTCTTAACTCTAGCTTGCAATAGTTATCATGTCATGTTGGCTAAAAAGCTACCGGGTATTTCAATCTTAGCTTCATATCATCTGTGGTCTCTTCTAGGGATACCACACAACTCTGCAATAACTGGTTCAGATCGCAGTCTATGCAAAACATTGTTCATTAAGTTGAATTTATCTCTATTAAACTTACATTCATATGTCTTTCAATCAATTCTTAATGGAATTTGTCATTGTTCGGGGTATTCACCTGTAAAGGAAACATAAAAAATATACCTGATACAGATTCAAAATGAGGTATACAGATATAGTACATTTTTTTGACAAACAATGCTTTACAATGAATATCTTACACTGGCAACTTTAGAATTCAATTTGGGGAATAGGCTGTGGCAGCAATATCATTATTATCTCATGATCAAATGGCAATACAAAAAGGAATCATCTGAATTGCATTTCAGGTCAATTTTAAATAAGGTCTGTAAGTGCTTTCTTCCTCTAGCTACATGTACATACATAATTGTTAAGATTCTGAGTATAAAGAGGTGAACATGTAACATTACCGAGAAGGTTCTGGTGCTTTTTACCATTTTAGTGTGGAAGAATATCACAAAAGAGATGTTCCTTGTCAAGGGTTGTTTCTTTGCTCTTAAATGTCCTCATTTCTTACACGTATGACAATAGCTGAAAAGTTAGGACCAAACATTCACACCACATGTGTGTATAATACTTATACAAAAAAAGTAGAAAAAAGGAGACAAATGTAGATAAGGGACTAGACCCATGGAAGTCAAACAATATTCAGAGTCTAAACATTTTCAGAAAAATTGGCACAACACTTTGGAAATAGAGCTATGATTTAGTATTTAATGAACATACATGTATATGAAAATATGTTATACAATATACTTTTTATCTTATTTCCCTGGTGCAAATACTCCATATTTTTCCAAATATAAAGCTGCAAGATGGTGAACATTTTCAAAGCTTTTAAGCCAGCTTAATGTTTCAACAAATATATAAATGATGGACAGAATTCGAATCAATTTTTCTTTGCTTTAATTGCAGCTTTATATTTAGATAGGCAATGCTATAAAATATTTAAAAGAATAAGTTTTAAATTATAATTTCCAATCACCCTTTTTTATGTTGTATTAATCTGTGAAGTGAATTCCAAAACTCATTCCTAAACTATACCCATTGATTCCATAATCTATTCCAATATTTTCAATTTTGACTGAAATCTAACAATATCACCAGGTTGCATAAATGTTAAATTTCTAATTTTTATCTCTGATTTAAACTGGATATCAAATTTACCCTGTGATATTTAGAACAAAAGCTGAACAAATGAAAATATTTATTGGTAGACTTGATAGAGGTTTGAAAACTGCACCAACATCATCAAAGGCTACATGTTTCATACAATGAATACTGATTTAGGATGAAAATGAATAAACTAATCTTACTTGCCCATGAACAACGTACAAGATCAAAAATAGCCACAAAACACGAACAATTTGGTCAATTTAAAGGATTATATACTCCACTCAAATTAGTTTGCAATGTGCTCATCAAGTGATTATTATTATTAATAAAGTTGGTCAAAATTTTCAAATAGAAATTAAAGAATTAGAAATTAAACAACAAAAAATGACAATGACAATTACTTTTTACAACGATTAAAAAATATATCACAAACAAAACAAATGAAAATTCAAACAAAGAGATTCTATTATCGCCTAAATTTTGCCATCAATGTACATTACCAGTCAACTTTTAGTGCAAGATACGAATTATGTCACAATGAATGAAATATTTTTGTGAGATCAAAGTGATATTGATATGTTAAAAAATCAAATCAAGTCATTAAATTCATTGTGATTCAGACACTGACTTTTGTGTGCTTTACATCACAAGTTGAATCATAAAAAAATATGTATCCTCCTCCCTTTTCAAAAATCTTAATGGCTAGGTCATAACACCGACTTCACAATACATATAAAGCAGCATGTACTAGTGTAGCTGCCAAGCTTAATGATGTATTACGTGTACATTTTGTGAACAGATCAAGTTTTATCTTCCAATTTAACCCTAATGCTAAAATATATTTATATTTGCATCTTTCTCCTCCACAAACCCACCCCCTCATTTTTCCAAAGACGTCAACAGTTGAATGCTGTTTCAATCTCCTTGTAGTACTAATAATACAACCACATTTGCAAGATTTGAAGCTTGCTAAATCACAAAATATCAAAATATATGTTCACATAACACTTGTGTCATCTTTTCTAAGCCTTTAAAATTACCATTTCTCAGTCGTTAGTGATTAACATTTTTCATATGTACACATTTTAATTCATGCATGCATTTCATTACACAAGTGTAGACTAAGTATACTGATTATCTATGTACAATCAAACAAGAACCAACACTATCCCATGAATGAAAATGACATCAGGATTCGGATGCAAGTTGGACAAGAGCCATCCTCGACTACAGTCATTAATCCTCTGCTCGAGCAGTCATTGTCTTTTTCTTATCGAGTTCGTTATCATGAGAACAGCATTGGCTCGGGATGTGTCACGTGTCTTTCCTTGCACGACTACCGACACCACCACCCCCACCACCACCATCACTGTCACTTCTCTCTCTAGTATCACCGTCTCCTTGCTTCGCCTCTTCTCTCTGCCACGTTTCTTTCTGCGGGCGGGCTTGGTGGGGCTCCAGTCTATGACGTGCTTGCGCTCCACCGAAGAAGATCCTCCATGATACCGGCTTGTGGGTCGTCGTAGTCTTCCAAGATGGGTAGTTCCTCCAGGGGACTTCACAACAAGAGTAACGATAAATAAGGAGAGGAAAAGAAAAAAAACATAGAGAGAACATATATTTTTTTCAAATTCTTTTTTTCCCTGTTCATTGCAAGATAGCAACTATGATGTGGGGAATATATATATATACATATTTTTTAATACAGAAAATCAAATCCTTACAACCAAACAAGCTTTGGAAGAGTGTATTTCTAATTGGTTAGTTGTTTACTAAAATATAAATTTTGCCTCCCGTTTTCAAAATCTTTGTTTTGTGGTGATGGTAGTGTACATGTCCAAAATTATCTGGGATGTATGAAATTGATTTCTGTTCTGTAAACCTCAAGGCACAAATCAAAATTACAGGTAAAATGTTATATGTTTACACAAGTGTACAATACCAACAAAGAAACAGAAGGAATTGATTGTGTGATGCATGGTAATGTATCACAGGAGAATAAAAATGAGACAGAAAGTGTTACTTATTAGCTTTGTATATCATCCGCTTAGAGCCAGAAGGGCATTAACTCTGTGCTAGGTACCCTTCTGGCACCGAAAAGACAATACGAACATCAATTACTGACAAAGATTAATGTTATTGACATGAAAACAGACATGGCTTCTTGATCAACCACAGGAGAGGATACATAGAGTCTGAATGTGGGTATGGATATGTGAATTTTGAGATTTTCTCCTAACGCTCCAGATACAGTTACCTATATTTAGTTCTTTTTTTTTTAATTCTAAAGTGGAAAAATATTAAAACAACGGTCAGTATGATTTTTTAAATAGATTTTTTTTTTTTTTTTTAAATGAATGAATAAATAATGAAAATACATAAGGGACTTTAGCAAAGCTAGGCAAAAGGTGGTAAATTTCTTTTCATTAGAATTTTAAGCATCATATATATAAGGAAAAAGGACACAACAGACTACGGGTAGCTAGGAAAAACAGTCTCTGTCCTCATAGGCCTTCTTGCAGACAGGTTTCTCCCAGTGTGTCTGTGTGTGTTGTGCCCTTCTTCCATACACAAGCCCCTCAGCATAAGCATTGGTAGGACGAGTCCCTATATGACCCCCGAACTCACCAAGAATAACATGCTCCAGTGAGTTGGGCAGTAATCACTGACCTTCGTCCAGTTGATCGGTCACTGTGAATCTCTAGCTAGAAGTCACCGGTCTCCAGAAGGGGGATTCCGTTCCGCTTCCCGAGTTAACTTGCTGATCGCTTTCTGCTTCAACAATTTCTTCCAAAAAGTTTTCTCCCAAGCCCTTTGGTCAAGACACAGTTTGGACAGCTGCTTTTTGGAGTTGTGCAAACAGTCCTAGATGACTATATGAAATAAACTTGCCAAAATTTAATCTGGGTTGTTTCTAGGTCGATGTTGACAGAAGGCTATGAATATGTGATATGGTGCACACTCCATTCATCTTTAAAGTCCTTCAAATCGCCTCAGTCAATGAGCGGTGATTGACCTCTAGCTAGAGATCACAGGTCACCACTTGGTCAAAGGTCAGAGCTTACTGAAAACACTGCAGATAAAAAGACTTCAGAGAAGGTTAAGGACAAGGAATTCTGCTTACATCAAAGTTTTAAACTAATCATGTATAAAGTAGTATATGTACAACATGTAAATAGAAAGCTGCAAAGATCATAGTCTGAATGCAGCCCACTCTAATGACACAAAAATTCCCAAATTGAATGCTCATTAAATTATAAAAGCTTCTACAAAATGCATTTTTTTTTTGGCTGTCAAATAATTTCTTCAAGAATATTTTCTTTTCGTTTGAATTTCATTCTTTATTTGTAAAACAAATAATAAAAATAAATTATAATATAAATTTAAAAAATGACCTTTTATTAAAGAAAGTCATTCATTTATACATTATGGAAAATGGGAGATTTGAACTATATCACACCAAAAAGAGAGTAAAATATTCAGAAACACTTTCCCTATAAAAAGCAAAATAAATAATTCTAAATTTTGAAGATCAAATAACAAGTTTAATAGTCAAATAAATGTAGCGAAAAGGATGGTACAAGTTCAAAACAGAACACGCTCTGAAATAGTTGTCTTGAAAACAGTTTAATACTTGCACATAAACACAAAAATTAAATAAGCCTTCATAACAGTATGCAAGATATCAAAGGGTCATAAAAGATTGATTCCTAGATTCTCATCTGGGCATTTTAAAAAAGGAGCAGGTTATCAATTATCTTATTCTGTTCAGCCCCCCCCCCCCCCTTAAAAAAAGAAGAGAAAAAAGATGGGTACTGAAATTGAAATAACCTTAGTTCCTTATTCAAACAATCAGGAAAATTCCTATATTGAAGATGACATTCATTATCATAGGAGTATAGAGAGAAATTTGAAATACGAATGATGACCTTGGAAATTTAGTCTAAACTTGGTGTACCGTAATAATCTACTCATCATGAATTATTTTTAAAGAACACTTGTTACTTGAATAATACATTATTCATAAGACAAAGGATGAGGAGCTTGACAAACAACAGACAGAATAGTATTACTACTGAACCAAATGTTTTGTGGTTATTTTTTTGTATTCATTGATTACTACATATTCTATCTCTACAGGAGTGTCCAAGCAAAATGATACCACACTACTGAATACATACACAGAGCTCGTGAATATAAAGATATTTTGAGTTTGAATATTCTGTAGATGTAATTGCACTTAGCAGCACCTATCACTTAGAAATTTGATATAAGACAACATTTTTTGTTAAACCTCTACAATAGAAGATCCTTTTCGGCACAAATATCCCTTTTGTGAATACATGTACATCAGATCTATCCATACTTTTTTCCTACAAATTGTGTGCTGGTAATCAATGATCTACTTTTTCTTATACATATATATACCAGATGAAACTCTAATATGAAACACTGTTTTTTCTATGTCTTCTTTCTCTGAGCAAACCTTTCAAAAAGAGAATAATAACAATTGATAGACTAATCTCTCGCATAATTCTTATATGTATCTTCAAAACGATGTCATGTCAACAACTTACTATGAAAATCATCAAATAACTGATCAGAGCACTTTATCAAATTAGAATTATGATCCCTCTATTTGCATTTTGCCAAAATAAGTATCATTATCTTAATATCTAAGAACATACATTAAGCACATACAAATGACAAAACGTACTAGGACAAACATGAACACAATTTTAAGAGGAAGTGGAATTATATTGGTATCTAAAATCCTATATCAATAACATTTTCAAGATCATTCTGGAAATAAATATTATAAAAGAAAATATTTTGTATTTACTTCTTGCAACATTCGTGCAACAACAATGTTCAATTTCATCAGCTCGGCATGAAGCCAAACAATATTTAAAGCTTTCAAAATCAGGGGTAATACACTACTTTAACATCAATCGTATTGATGAAATTCAAATATTGTGAAGAAGGGTAGTCATTCTTGATAAAAGACTGAAATTTAATCTAAACATGTATTTAATTTACATGTTAATATATATTTAAAAAATACATGTAACATAGCACTCACATATATTCTTTAAAAGGTTTTCATAAATGTAACATCTAACAAAAAGCATTCTTGTTCATAACTCAATCAAAGGAATAAACATGCTTTTCAACAAGCTTTTAGAAGAGAATTCCACTTCATCTTTACATGCAAATTAACAACAAAGTGACCATGAGTTGAACACATACAAAACAAAACATATAATATTCCCTGTTCAGACATAACATGATAAATATCAAATATCAAAGGCAATGTGAAACATACATGTAATCAGAGAAACCCTACAACATCATAAAATGAATGATATAATTATCTATCTGCATTATTTTTGCTTAGTAAAGTTTAGGCAATGACATGTTTGCTATCTTAAATGCATTATTCAATAGCAGTTTTTTGAAAGATAAATTTGAAAATGTAATCACATTCCTTTATTTTTCAAATTTTCACACAATAGAGAACAAAAAGTTCATAATATCCAAATATAGGCTTAATTTCATGTACTGTACCATGGTCTTTCAAGGAATTTAAGTGCAAGAACTTGGCAAAGAAATCAATAATTGATTTTCTGTATATATTTCAGACAGTTTGGTAAGCAAGGTGTTAAAACATCATGTCCTTAGATTGCTATGCATACAATATTATTTGGTATAGGTATGGTAAACAAAATTGCACAAAGCACACTTAATTTTAAAGCCACAAAGGCAAGAATGGTGAAAAATAATTAATATACTTATTTCATTTTCTTGATTCGAAATAGATTATCATATGAAAAAGGAGACAGGCAATTACTAATTCAACACTTTTGCCAAAGCCTTCTCAATTAAAATCTAACCTATATATACTAGCATTATTAGCTAGTTGATAATAAATATATATATATCGAAACGATTGCATCGTATGATAAATAGATGTGTATAACATTTTGTCTTGATATACTTTCACATAAAAATTATATATCTTCAATATTTGTCAATACAGCTGGCTAATTCAATTTCTTATAGAAAAATATCTTTTGGAAAAATATCTTTTGGCTACATCATGCAAAAAAATATACAATATAACAACTTTTTTTCTAATATTTTTGTAGTTTCCTAAATAGATTCTTTTTATATTTCCCTACACATTACTGCAGCAAAAATGCATCATTTGTATCTTCTACATAAGCACATAACAAAATTTGTTGTAAACCCATGTATGAGGGCATATACTTATTACTGTAATTTTCTGAATTTTCCATGAATTCTCAACATGCAACTTAAAAAATGTCCATTAATTTGTTTTCCCAGTAACATTTGGAACTTACAACTCCTCTAGTCCCTTGACTAAGATAATGTGCTCACTACTCGCACATTTTTATAATGATTACAAGTGTTTCCTTGATTGATCATGAAGTTTTCATCACTTTTGGTAAGTTTCCTTTTTTCATGATCAAGGCTAGGAATATGCTTTCAAAGTTCCTGGTTATTTTTCCATGACTGCAGAAAATCTTGAGAAGGTTGGCAAAGGGCCTACTTCCTTGGGCAATTTTTCCAATTTTTATTGTCTTATCTTGTCTTGGAAATCAACATTTTCAAGACCTTTTCAGGTTTTCCATTACCGCATGTGCCCTCTAAAGGCTGTCCAAGGGACGTCTTTTCTCAAGTAATTTTTCCTTTTTTGTGACTCCTCCAGTCCTGGAAATTTGAATTTCCAAGATTTTTCCTGGTTTTCCCGAACTGTGGGAACTCTGTGAAGGTTGGCAGAGAACCTACTGACTAAACTACATGTAATTCTCCTATTTTCCTTGACCTATCAAATTAAATTTTCAAGACTTTTCCTGGTTTTCCACGACCAGGAAAACCCTGTGCAGTTGGCAGGAGATCTACTTCATAAAGTAATATTCCTTTTCTTTCAGATTTATCCAGTCCTGGAAATTGGAATTTCCAAGATTTTTCCTGGTTTTCTGTGTGAACCCTGTGAAGGATGGACAGGGAGGGGGCCTACTTACTCAAGGTTTTGGTCCATGGAGGTGGTGCCCACCATTCCATCACTGGACGACACCCTGAGGGATGAAGAGGTCATCAGCTGCTGGGATGGGGGTGACATGGGCTCACGGTTGCCCATCTCCTGGCTGTGGTGTTGGGGTGGTCCACTGTATCAGGAAATAAAGGAGAGAAAGGTTAATGAAAAGATATTTCTGCAAACAATCACAAACAAGAACAACTTTGTTATTCAAATATGCTGTAAATTTTTGTACATGTTTCTTATAGATTTAACAGTGATTTTCAGGTCAAATCATTTGCAACAATTGAACTGGCTTTTGCATATTTTTATCCAAAACACAAAAACAAGATAATAATGCAACAGCAGTGTTAGCTAATTAAGATAAGAAATGACTGCATTCCCTTATTTGTCTACACATCTCAATGCAGTTGTAACCAATGTGTCAACAAAAGGCTGCAGGACTTCAGAACATCATTAAGTGAAACATCTTTTGTTTGTTGGTACTATCCCAAATTCAGTAGGGGTAAAAGTTAATTCAGTGGCAGGAGGATAGTAAGCAAATATTAATCCACTACGAGGGTAATGGTACAAACTATCATCGCCGAGGTGATCTCGGGGGGCTACTATCATGATGGTAGCCCCGAGATCACCGAGGCGATGATAGTTTGTATCCATTGCCCAAGTAAAGGAGGTTAATGTTTGTTTTATATCCCACATCGGCAATAAGGTCTATTTAAAGTGAATTTTATATAATTAAAAGAACTGATTCTGCAGACAGTTTAACTTCAGCTAGATTTTACAAAGCGCAACATGCATACAATGTAACAAAGTCGATGCGCGCTCATTTGACATTGACATTTCGCGTAACCTACTTTGCTACGCGTATTCAATAACAAGTGGGGCAGCAGCAAAAAGTTCCCTTACAACAGTCCTATCGCAGGTAGATAGTACTTATCTATCTTTTATCATGTGACCTCGTTTAGACCGATCAGATTGCAAGATTCTTAGTATGCAGGATATAAAAATCAAATATACCATCCACTGAGAGGCTCCTGTTGAATTATGGATTCTCTGAGATGACTGGCATACTGCTATTTTCTCTTTTTTTTTCTTCAAGGGCAAAGTATTTTAAGTCACATAAACCATCTGTGGCCAATCCTTGCACTGGATTTTTTTAAATATAGGAAATACAACTTGTGTAGTGTAGTATGAAGCGATATTCTTACCCAGGCATGTGAGGGATATGGCTGACGAGTGAGGTGGGGACATAGCCACCATCACCCTGTGGAGGTACCTCAGCTGAGAAGAAAAACAAACAAAAACACAAATAAAGCAACTTTACAAGATCAAACTATTGCAGAATAGGTCTACAATGATCACTCTTTCATAAGTTTTGATACAACATACAAATGCATTGAGATATCCTGGCAAGAAAAATAGTTCTATTGAACTGGCTCTTAAAATTTGAAATACCTGGTCTTATGCATTTTGAATCACATACTTTATGAACATCATTTACCTACCTATGCCAGGCCAAGAAAGGAAAACAAAAGGATTTTAAATATTATTGAAAAACTAAAGAGAAGCACAAGAAATGAGGTATGTCCTATGTCATACATGTATTATCATCAATTTAATGATATAAATTACAACAAAAATGTCAATGGAGAATAATCAGTTCATTTATTAATTAGTTACTTAATAGTTTTTTTCTTACCAAAGCCTAGATAAAATACAAACATATAAGTGATAACTAGCCTTCAAAAACATTGGAAACCCTGTAAAGAAAGACTGTATGTCAACTTACGATCAGTGGTGTAATACTGTCCAAAGGCTGTGTCCTTTGGTTTGTCAGGGTAGAGGTGGGTCAGATGGCTCAAGTCATGGATGCGGTCCGCTAGAGAACGGATGTTGAAATCATCTGCAGTGAATGGCTGCAGGTTGTAGACCTGACGCTCTCCTGTAAAGAAGAATAGGAAAAGATGACCTACCTCTTTCTAGACATAGGATAATGACTCAATGAGTATCTCTGGCAGGATATTTTACAAGTGGCGATTCTGTATTTTTACTTAAACCGTCCCTGCATATTGAACAACACATGGTTGTGCAACAATTGCTTCATAATACAATTTTACCACTAGCCAAACTCCATACCTGACTTCCTTGTACTTGAATTTGCCCTTCCTAACTACTGCGCAACACATGCTCTAGTGACAGTTGCTCCATGACAAATATCTCACCCCAAACTTAGATTCTGGGCTCATCACTTTAACTAACCAAACTCTAACCCTAAACCTAACATAAATCCCAATCAAAACCAAAGACCTAACACTACATTTGTGAGAAAATAAAGCACAAAAGAAAGTTACCACAAAACATGTTGAATCATCTCTTCCATATTTTGTTACTGAACACTATTTACATGCTTTTTAATCTAATTTGATTTGATTTTGATTTATTTACCAACAGCTATACTTTTACATTTTGTACAATGATTTTACATATACAAGAAGAGAAACTATTGGTTGGTAAAAGGGGCCAGATAAAAGCACATGTGCTAGTAGAGCCTAGCCCCTTAAACAGCTAAAAAAAAAGTATTTTGGTACAAATCAGTTTAGAAAACGTAACAAACAAAAAAATAATGAATTTACTATTACGATCAAAACTTTAAAAAATAGGAATACTCAACAATGTCCTACAATATACAGACTAATAATGTAAAATATAAATCAATATCTAACCTGTATTGGCATCTTCTGCCAGCCAAGCTATGGTGATGCCTCCAATCTCCGAGTCACTGAAGCGTAGCAAGAAGCATCCTACTTGCTGGGACAGGAGAAGATCGTGAGCCATGCTACGAGATACAAAGCCCATGATGGATCTAAGAAAAGGAAGGGGAAAACTAGACATGACACATGTATCTGGTTTAATTGTACATTGGTGAGGAGAGGATGCAATGGAGAGAGGGTTTGCCAATGTCTAGTTCAGAGATGTGAAACATGTAGTCAAAATGATTTGAATCACCCATATACCCTAGTCAAATCTTAGTTCAAATCGACCAATGTTTGGCAACATCTGTGACTACATGGGATAAAGTAATTTTTTTCATTCAGTGTATTGTTGTTCTGGTATAAGCCACATTAGTGGGACTGCGGTATAAAGATTCTCTGGAGCTCAAAAGACATTGTGACTACATCACATACCCTACATCGTAATAGCTACAATAATTAATCTTATGACCTAAAATTTCAACAGAATAGCAGAGATGGTTACATGTCCCAATACGGTGAATAACATTTTTTTTTAATTAATACAAAAGTGAAATAAATAAAACCACAGAATACTTCCAGAATCTTATATGTTTAGAGATCATGTTCTTAATGCACCCTGCCGGACTTGCAACTAAACGAAAACCCTCAAACTTACCCATCATTCCATGGCCCTCTCAAGTGCTTCCGGGTCAGCTCTAGTACACCATGGAACCAGCGCCAGAAAGTAAAGGTACGATTTGGCAAAGGGTCCTAATAAATCACACAAAAAAAAAATAGTACGATACAAGTAAACAATATTCTCTTCTCGTATAGCACAATCATATTATTATCTCTATGTACTCTTAAGGGCTTCAGAATTGTCGGATATTTAGCCCAAGCAACCATTGTCATTGCCCAGTGTATTCAAGTTAACCGACTACATACTAGAGTTGAGAGTAGCACATGTACATGTCTTGTCAAGTGACATTAAGTGATGTGCCACAAACTCTGCATCTCCAAGTTAGCGTTTAAATTACTCAACTAAAACACAAGCATAACAAAATATCATCAGGTAGTTCCATCTTACAATGTATATAATACCAATTGCAAACTAATCCAAATGGGGAAAAAAAAATCTAGACTTTAAACATCGTTGGTGAAGATGCAGTGCTACCAAGGATAGAGGACAAACATTTCTTTGACAGTGTTTAACCAGCTCTTACATCTACCAGAGAAAGACATTGATATTAACTGTCATAGTTAAGACCCATTACAAATTGATTCTCAATGGTTGATTAACCATAAGGTATTTTAATCTGAGGCAAAGTAACTCTTTAGAGAGGGTTTCATGTTTCCATGTAAACATGCTTCAAATAGTTTTCATCCTGAGCTACATAAGTCTTAAAGGGATTGGGTATCTTTGCCTTAGATTTATTAAAAATTTTGGATTTAGCTCATACTGCTATCATAATTATAAACCTTTAGGTCAGTCAGGAATCCCATGACTTTTGCAAGCCAATCAACTGTCTGATTATCAAGATATTTATGATTGGAATTAAACATTTCAAAAACCGTTTTCCCAACTGTTTTTAGAATATTACAGTCTAATGGGGAAAATGAGTATGGTGAAACCGGTCACTCAAAGATGTTTACTTTTTTGAGGCACTTCTTGGTCATTATGAAGCACAATTTGTTTAGGGCTTCAATATTACACCATATCACAGACAGTGATAACACTAAGGGCTGTGCATCTCAGATTTAACATTGTTAAATGATGCCATTAATACTCGACAGTTGAACAGAATTCTGATCACCACTAAATGGATGAACATTATCAAGGACTCTCTCTTAGTCTTACCCTGTTGAAGATACTCCATGTGATGTAGACATTGGAGAAGTCCTCTGTTTGGCCAACATTGTGGTCTGCTTAAAGGTGGGCAAGGAGATGGAGAGAAGATAATACATCACCTAAGTACATGAACATCATGTGATCCAGTAGACCAGTTACAATATTGTAAGAATTGTATCTCTACTACTGATTAATTGTTTCAATTATTTTCCATAGTATAACGATTTAGTAGAAGACAAACATTAGAAAAAGGGGGGGGGGAGCCGGGAATACATTTCTAACTTCACCACAAATTTGATTAAAAATTAAAATAGCTTACTGCAGCATCATTTACGGAGACAGCTTTCATTTCTCTACAAGGTTTTATTAAAAGAAGGAATTAATGCACATGATATAACATTTTATTAAAAGAAGAAATTAATGCACATGATATAACATCTGTTATATCATGTACTTCCGAAATTTGATTTTCTATTTCTTCCTCATTAAATTCACAGGATATACATTACAATTCAAAGATTTGTAGTGTGGGAAAAAGACTTTGGTGAGCCAAGCTCAAGTCCTGAAGAATCCCATATAACACTTACGACTAAAAGCTTTCTGCGCCAGATAGAGCAGATTAGCATCACTCAGGCTACGCCCGTTTGCCAGCATAAACTTGGAGTTGAGGGCTCGGCCCATGTCTGCGAAGGGAACACCATCGGGTACCACAAAAGGGACTCGTCCCTAAATAATAATTAGACAGAAAACATTGATTTCATGCAATCCAATTTAAACAATCATTTCAGAGGCATCAAAATGCTGTAAACCAAAATCTTTTGCAAATTTTAACAATGCTAAATTTCAAGGAAGAATGGTTTTAATTCATTGTCCTGTCTCTGTTAAATTTTGTGGCATAAAATCTATGCAAAACTGAACCACTTGGAATTTGTGTGAGTTTCATACATGCAAAATGTTCTGGTTTTACAATTAAACGAAAAAATTAAGGACCAGAAATAATTCTAAGGGGAAAATAAAAATAATGTAGGTTTTGGCACTAATTGGATGTGCAATTACAGCATTTGCACAAAAAAATGTCTCTGCATAAAGTAATGAACAGTGTAGCAAAATACACTGCAGCTATGGCTGATAACAATTCTGAATGTAACTTAGATTTCATAAATGTTACTTTCAGGTCATGATCTTTAAAACTTGGAGAAATCTGTATTTTGTATTAGATATCACTCAACCAAACAATGGACAATTCAACAAAAAAATGAGGGCAAAAAAATTGAATGACATGATTAAAAAGAAAGACTGAGAATGATGGTACACTGTACTTACCTTTTTTTATGCACTTTCGGTTTATTCACAATTATTAGCAAATAGAGCATGCATAGTTAATAAACATGTGAATATTCTTTCACATAACCAGCATCATGCAACAATATTTCAGAGCTTGCTGCTAAACTGCTAATGAATGACTTTAAAAACTCATTGAAATGCCTTCATCTGATCTAATTTGTTGTCACATGAATAAAGACAGAATTCATGTTGTAATTTAATTTCTTTAAAACCAGGTATTTATTTCCTTTGTTGGAAAACAGAAGACTGCCTCTCGTATCATCTTTGGATGGCATAGGCATTAAAAATCTTTTGTTCAATATTTCAATGACACAAATACATATGCTTTTTGGGTTTAATAATTCTGCGATTACTTTAAGATCTGTATTTCCTGTTCCTCTCTAAACATGGAAGAAGAATACTAAATGACTTGATCATAGCTTGATACTTACAGAGCTGGCAAACGCATTGTCCCACAAAACTGTGGCAAGCGCATTTGACTCCTGGTTTCCATGAACTATGACAACCACGGGCAGTGACATAGTCTGATCATGCACGCAGAAGATACGGTTGCCATAGCGACACAATTAGCAGCGTAGATGGTGGTGGTCGTTTGGAAAGGCACATAGGATGAATTGGAGGGTAAGGGGGGATGGCAAGTGACAACAAAGTGTTAAAATATACATCATGCAAGGAACACGAGGCAGAACCCGTTCCTCAATGTTTGCATTGACTGAAGTCAGTCTCACAAAACTCACTTTACAGATACATTATGTTTCATGGTTATAGAATTAAGCTGATTGACATACATGTAGGACTCCATGCAATGGCAACGAAACGTGTCTAATTGGGGTGGAATTTCTTGACTTGTTACTGAAAGGGTTAGTAGAGGTGTTTACGCTGAAAGCTATCCATACTCATGTGTTCCCAAAATGGACAAGAAGAAGAAATAAGAATACAGGAATGAAGAGAAATAATGTAAAGGTGAAACTGCAAATAAAATCACCATGCGTCCATGCAAAACTGTAAGTAGAAAATAAAACTGAAGGAGTAGTTGAAAGGTTTGGAAAATTCTGTGGATACAAAGAATATTCAAAGACATTTCAGAATTGGATTTTGAAATGCCACACGCTTACAAAAAATTGAAGATAACAGAGCATACTTTTGCAAGCCAGTGAAAAAAAAAATATAAGATAAGCTTGATAATATAAAAAGTAAAGACATATTAAGTAGATTATGCTGCATCCTCTTAAGAGTAAATGCAGATTATTTTATTTTCTTCAGACCCCAACATTAATAGGGAAAAAGATATAAAATACTTAATAATTGGACGAAAAAAGGGCTAAATTAGATTGGCTGTTACATGTCTGGCATTTCAATACCCAATACTGAATGGTACAAGCAAATGAAAGGGAAATGGTAGGCTGCTCCACTAAATGGATGGTAAAACAAAAGGTAAATGGAAACATATAATGAAGACTAAAACCCACATGCAAGATGACATCACAAAACACGTTTGATCCACAAAAATCTACTACAAGCATTTACAAGGTCACATTCACAAAGTCATTCACAAGGTCACATGTGTAAAGGTCCACGGAGGTCATTCCCCTGAACTTACTGATTCACCAAATGCGTTATCCCAGAGAATAGTGGCAAGAGCATTACATTCCTGGTTGCCATGGGAAACGACAACAACTGGAAGTGACATAGTCTGATGCCAGAATGATATGGAGTATGAAATGAAAGAGTTATGATTGAGGATTTTTTTTAGGATGGGTATTAAAGTAGACACAAAGATAGGGGACCCATTACAATCACACAGGTATAACCAATAAAAAGGTTAGGCAGGTTTTTGTACAAATGAAAGGTAAATAGGATTAGTTCAACATGGGGGGGGGGGGGGGAGAATGAAGATGGAAGACAATGGTACGATATGATAGAGGAAAGGGGTCAACATTAAAACAAAATATATCATAGAACAAAAAAGATATGTGGGTTAGTGTATTACATATTAGAAATAGCAACACAAATATAAACAGGTTAGGTAAAGATATACAGATAAAGATTGAATCTCATGCAATTGAGAATGAGGGAGTTAAATGAATGATATGAATTAATGGCAGTCACATTTAACATGAAGGGAGAAATGATGATTTGGGGAAAAGGAAGAGAGGGGGGAGAGAAGGCAAAGAGAGAAAAACCAAAACATAAGCCAGTGATGTTCGGTAAAAGACAGCTTTGAGAATGAAAAAAAACTAGGGCTCTAAATTCTTGATAGAAAACTGTTCACTTCTACATGAGTGAAGAGCAAAGGAGCATGAAAATCATTGTCAATGGAACTTGTGGAAGGGAGAAGAAGTATTTCCTTCAATAATACAAGATGTTACAACAGATATTGCTAGTAAGTAGAGAGTAAGTAGAGAGGGCGCCCTATTGAAATCTTTGTACAATGTGTAGTATTGTATACTAAATTCTGGTTTCACAATATCAACAGAGACCTGTTTGAAATATAGATTACACTTAAAGTAGTTTCAAAATGACAACCCATGCCACAATTCACATCTTTAAATCATAATTTGGGGGGCTAAATTATTACCAGTGGTTTCAGGTCATACCAACAGGTAATTTCCTAAGTCATTGGTAATCCAAACAACTAATCCAAATATATTTATTTATCTATTGCTTTGCTTCCTTGGCTATTCCTCTAGACTGTACTTCATAGTATTTTATTTTTTTCTCAGAAAAGTAAATGCTTTTTATTTGTCTACACTTAAAGCTTTGCTGGTTGACGACTTCCCTCTAAATACTAGCAATATCAGACCTCAAAATAAAATAATCAGAGGGGAGACCAAGCCTAAAAGTACCTCTAAAAGGGAAACCCCAAAACAAAACAGGAAAAGGTTCTTCAAGGTAGAAAAGGAGGAAATGCAACACACATTTCCTAAAGAAAACATCCCTCAAAACAAAATTGTGCGTGGATGATTAATCATCTGTTTCTTTTAAGCAGAAAACCTGAAGGTCACCATTGAAATTAAACCAAGAAACTACATGTTTTCCCATAGCAGTTAAGTGTCACCTCTTAGTGACGTTTTTTAGTTATATCTTGAGCTAGACTGATATGAATTACACTTTATACATGAGCATACAGAGTCAAACGTACAGACCATTTCAAGTCTATTCTAATGAAGTATATTGTGCCATTCATGAATAGGATTTATTTAATTGTAAATAATCATTAAATCTTGAGTTTGGCGATGCAGTCTGAAATTTATAATCATTATTTTGGTGTAAAAATTGGCTTTTTGAATCAATTTATACACATTCATTCAAATGATTTATATTTCTTTTTCTTCACTGTAGGGGTGAAAAAATAAGAATTGTGGCCACTTTGAGGATATTTAGACCTGAAGACAACTCTGAACTGCTATGGGGTTAGGGTATAGAAGCCTTACTCTGAAATAGAATAGCCCAAACACAGTTGTGGGAGAGTGTTAAGGATTTAGAGCACTTAGTCAACCCACACCAATGATTATAAGTCATTTATATTTTCTGCTCTTCTCTAAACCAAAACACAGTAAAGGGATTTGCCATTGCATGGAGTCACTAACAAGTACAATTATAATATTTTTAATGTGCATTGAAATATCACTTCTACTAATCTAATCATACACATTTGAATACACATTACAATATCAATTACAAATTGTACAAGATAATTTCTAATCATTATGTTGGTATTTCATTTCACATAACATTTATATAATTCACTGAAATTTGTCACTGAAAATTTGTATTATCGATTGCCAAAGTATTGTCAAATACATGTATATTAAAAGTTATAATGAATATGGTCAAGTTCAACATTAATAGATTCAGTCTAGATAAAAATAAATATCAATTCCAAATACACCTTGAAAATCCCCTTTTAATCTACATTTTGTAATGTTAATAAATATTAAATCATATAACTCATTGCAATCCATTTGAGAGATTGTGCAATCAAGTGAAAAATAATGTGCACTAACTTTTGGTGCCTTCTTTGCAATATAAGGAAACCAAGATGAGTGATAACTAAATAATGTGAAGAACATTTGCTTAGTCTTAAACTAACCCCTTCTGTGCTACCAAATTTTGGACAAATACCATGGATGAATTTTCAAGAGTGAATGCTTATTTTATTGATAAATTGGGCATAAATATTTTTCTTGGAACTCAACTTCATCTTTAAATTCCTTAATTTCAAGGCAGAATTTGCTGTTACAGCACAGAAAGGGTTATCGCCCATCATGAAGTATCCAGAAAACAGAGAAAACAATCCTTTCTCTATTTTGAAGTAACTTTGTTATAACACAAAATAATGTGGAAGCCAACTTACCCTAACTTGGAAGACAAGTTCACCACTCGCCACAGAAAATTGGGACTGGAACAGGATTGTGAACTTCTCCTCGGTAACAAACTGTAAACAAAAAAAGGGGGGGGGGGGAACAATATTTTAGGATGAATCAACCACAATTTTCCCTGAATGGCAGTGAAATCATGACAAATAATTTACAACCACAAGAGCTATTTGATCAACACGATGATGGCTCTCCATGCCATGGATTTTTATCTTTTACTGTCATAAATTTTTTGTTTTAGTAACAGTGAAGGTGTCCTTATATATTTTATTAAACACATTTGTAATTCAGACAATGGCTGCCATTCATAAATTGTAATAAATCATGAATAAACATCTCATCTTCATCTAACAGGCATATAAATGGGAAAATGTAGTGGGTACTTTTTCTCTCAAATATGCTAATTAATCAAATATTATTTCCTGTTTAGTATCGGTATGCATTACAATGATTATGAGGCTGCCAAGGAAATGCAGACCACAAATTTTAAAAAAATATGTTTCTCGTTCATTGATTGTTCTTCTGACGGGAGTGGATTGTGCAGTTGACATACCAGGTACTTAAATTATTGGCAGGGCCTAATCCTGTTTGTCTTTTCTTTACATTCATGGGTATCAATGTATTAAAGCTCGCAAAAAGCATAACAATCTGCAAGGGAACAATATGTTGTGAACATCTTCTCTTACCTCAGATCCCCTTCGATCTGCTCTGCGAATTCTCTTCAGTGACTGTGCAAGAAAACAAAATTAATAAAGTTCATCCACTGACATATATCACACAAACATGTGTTTTCCCAATATTCATATGCAACTCAATAGCATCTACATGTATGTATGTATGCTAAAGAACAACATACTAAGTCCCTAAACCAGCAAACCTATCTGATATTTAATGATAACTTGAAAGAGCAATTTCCTTTTAATGGATCAACTCTGTTTTAATGTACCAGCATATTGAAAAGGACTGGATGTGCAGCTCCACGTATACTTAACTCTGCATAAGTTGAATCTGTTGGGACTGCAAAAAATGAGTTCGACTTATGCAAACTTTGACACAGGAATTGTGTTTAACCTGTTCTGCATAGTTTGGTCTGAAAAAATGTATTCGATCGTTGAGGAAAAGTTTGACTTGTGCAACTTTGAGTAATGCAAAGTTTACCGTATTCAATTCTAAACTGATGTCGAAAATAAAATGTTGCAATAACATCTACACATTTGAATTAAATGTTAAAATGATCAGTACATTTTAGCTGATTATATTAAGATAATAATCAAGATGCGCTGTGTTCGCACAGGTGTATCTTACCATGTTTCTGAAGGTGACATTGAGCACTCCGGTCTCTCTATGATACTCCATCACACCACAGTTGTTCAAGATGTCTCCGCTCGTCTCACTAGAAAATACAAATTTATTTCAAACAAATCAGGATTGAATACTGCTAATCACACATAGCTATCAAAGCATATAATATGTCTCTCTTGTTTCCTCTTTCAGTAGAGAAAGTTATACAGTCAAACCTGTCTATAGCGACCGCTCAAGGGAAACACAAAACATGGTCTTTCTAGACAGGTTCCTTTATTACATGTTTCAATGAGAAACCATTTTCAAGGGGAACAAAAAATGTGGTCTTTGTAGACAGGTGGTCACCAAAGCAGGTTTGACTGTATTATAGATGTATTTCATGCGTGAAGAGACTTTGAGGCACTTATATTTGAAACAAAGACATGAGAACATTTTAAGTTCCTTTTCTAATTGGAATCTTGGAATGACCAAACATTTCAGAACTGGAGTTCCAAATGTTGCATGGTGAAGTCATTTATAGTTTTGTGAAATCAATGTAGAAACCAGTCAAAATTTCAAGCACTTCATTCATCTATTATTTGTTACTTAATGTGAGGTTATCAAACTGTTCTACTTACTTCCAACTTGATGTCTCACTAGCTAGCACCGCCTTTGCTTGAGATTCACTGTGAATGTTACAAAATATATAATACAGGTCGACAGAACAAGCTACTCGCCAACTATCACTCTTCATTTTGTCCAATGTTATTTTTGATAAACCTAACATTTCTTCTCTTGGTCTGCTTAGATAGCTAGCAACCGTAGTTTAATCAGTGGCGCGTAATCAACATACATTAATACAAACTTTTCAACTAAAAAGAGCACAGAATGCACGGTATGAAATGATATCTGTGGGAAAACCATATAATAGGTAAGCTGTCACATTGACAAACTGCCCTTTACATACAAGTATAAATGAGAAAGAATTAAAGGTAACAAACATTGGTAGACTATAAAGGGAAAGCATGGATCAGAACAATCAATGCCCAGGTGAGGTGTCTATTGATTGGCACAAACGATGTTCATCTTCAATTTGCTCAATAATGACCTCAGTGGTAGATAGAAAAACAGATGATTTATATTTTACCTGATGATTGTAGCTTTGACTTGAGGAGGGTTCATGTGTACATTGAGCTTGCCACCAACTAACAATCTGAAAAACAAAGATACAAAATAAACATCATATTTACATTTACTCATTTAAGAAGGAAATGGAGTTCACTGCTACTGTCATCATTATTTGCTTAAAGCCTACAAATTCATATTGTCACTTAATTTAGTAACATTATAAACACTTACATGGTTTCTACAACATATGTACTACTGCCATTATCATAACTTTGATCACAAAACAGCATAACTATCATGACAAGACAGAAAGGAGATCAATATTTACCTGACAGATGCTGAGAATCTAGTCTCTTTCTTCAAAACCTGTGGGGGCTGCTTCTCAATGATGAATGTACTGAAAGGAAATCAAGCAAAACAAAATGAAGATATAAAGTAAGATTTATTGCTGCATGTACAAGCACATATTTCTTTGTATTCTCTTGATTGATATCGATATCCCTTTTGATTTTGTATCAATATCTTAATAATCAAACAAGAATTGTAAGTGCTTTGTATCTCATAAATTTTATCTTCATAAACAAATCACACTTGAGCACTTATTCTCTAAATTCAAATTGCTTCCTATAAACTGGGTACAACATAGTTGCCCCCAGCTCAATTCATAGTAGGCAGTGAAACCCACTCCACTTTATAGAAATCCTGTCACTGATTGCTTACCTAGTAACAAGGGTTGAAAGCTGAGCCATGAAGCAGCGATTAAGCTCTGGTAACAGGTCTTGTCCATGAGGTACAGGAATTGGCAGCTGTTGTCTGAGTAGTTCTACTTTCTTCACTTGTTGTCTGTTGTGCCAAATCAGCTCAGCCAGAGCCTCACACCTAGAAAGTCACAGAACAGGAGGGATATCATTAGGTGTACTTTGTATGTCAAATCAGGTCAGTTATGTCTCTAATCAAGGATTTCATCTGATTAAAAAGCTAACGTAATGTATTGATCCATCACTGCCACACCTGAAACACCTCATTCTGTGTGAAGACTAATATCTTTGAGTTTTTCATAAAGTGATTGATGACTTCAGGTCCAGACATCCCCCCCCCCCTCCTTCTATTTAGTAATTTGAATTCAAGATTCAGCTAGTTCTTACCTCCCAAATGCCCCTCAACTCCCTTTCCTGTCTTTACAGCCCCCTTTATAGCTCCGAAGTTAATGTATTGATCCATATCACTGCCATACCTGATAAATTAGATTCTGTGTGAAGACTGACACCTTTGGTTGTTTTTAAATAATTGTGTTGCTTCATGCTTACCAGCACTGTTGTTGATCAAGGGTGCCCTCTGGAGGTCCACCAATACCAGCCAGCTGTTGCTGTCTCTTCCAACGGATGAGTTCATCTTCCAGAACTCTGCTCTGCAGGATCTTCAAGCTGTACAATGTTTTCCTGTGCTTTTCAGCCAAGTCCTGCCATAACACAAGGATGAAGATGATGTTAAGATTTGTTTAAAGACAGTAACTAGTGCCTTTACAAGAATTTCATAAAATGATCAATCAATAATTTCATATTAATTTGATATAACGTTCACTATAATATTTATATAATGTGTTATATGATGGGAAAATATTTAAGCAGATAGCATTCAATCCTTTCAAGGCCTCACAATATCGCTCTTTCCATCTTCACTTCGAGACACATGCATTTATTTCAAAGGAGCTTTTATACACACAAAAGTCCTGTAACTTTCATAATATAATTTTGTAAATCTAAAAGATTGCCCATTTTTGGTTACAGAATCATGACAACAAATATGTCAATAATTATCCACAAGTTGCATTCTTCACAGAAGTATTTAAGGTTTATTGGTATGTATATGGCAGTCCATTACACTTTTAATAAACGGTATTATCATTATTATTTTCTTTATGCATCATAGCTCTTAAAATGTGAAAGTAATTTTGTACTTGATGTCCCTGTCATTGGCACCTACCATTCTCATTCGTAGCAGTTCTTGTGCCTCTGTCTGTAGCACCTGTTCTACTTCAGCTTTTTTCTTGCGTAGAGAGACTTCCTCTGCTCGTCTGTTAGGATCACTCTCTGCCAGAGAATTGGCCAGCTGGTTCAAACGACCTGATTGAATGCAATGGAATATTGTAGCTTTAATATCTCTGTCAATGTGATTTAATGATACTCCATTTTTATCAAAGCCGCTTCTCTTTCAATGGATTTGGTCATTAACAAGCCATTTGATCTTTATCATAGGCATGAACATAACTCATGCATAGATTTCAAACTATGTTGGTATAACTTGGTGGACAAAAAAAAAAGAATGTTTAACATACTGTTTTTTTAAACATTTTTTTAACCACCTTGAACTCTATTCACGTTTCAATGCCTCCCCCATTCCCTCAACTTACTATACAGTGTACCTTCTAAATGAAGAAGAAAACAATGACTTTTAAGTCATGGAAATAGCACATTGAGAGGTGCCAAACATTACTTTTTTTTAGGTTACTAATATGCATAACAAAAAAGCATAGTATTGGAAACATCAAATGACACTTATATTCCATCCATATTTTGCATAAATGAACATAGCACCATTTAAAACAGCAATATTTACTTTGGAATGAACCATTTGAAAGAGAAAACAGAAATGTCAATTATTCTCCAAACTTTACCTTGAAAGCGCAAATTTTCCTGGTATTGAAAGACGAACATTTCCTGCTTCTGTTGGAGATTGCTCAGGTCTTCTTCTGTTTTCTGAAATAATTAAGCATATTTAATCCATTTAAATGCCACTTTATAGTGCTAGTGGAAAATAACTTGAAAAGCATCAAAAGTTTAAAAGTGTATTGCATTGTATTGTTGATTTTTTTCTTAAAGGAGAGAAAGCACATCGTCAAGTACATGTATATAGTTGTTTTCAACTCCATTCTGATTACTTGTCAGACCTAATATCTGTCTCATCAGCTAAAAATTGTACAATGAAGATGGGTCTTTTCGTACTCATTTTTGTAAGAGAGAAAGGATGTAGTCTTAAATACAGGAATACATAAAAACGGGTTGTCTTGATTAGCTTGTAACATATCCCACGTAAACCTACATATTTCAGAGAGCCACATATTTTGAACCATATGAAGCATGAATAAAAACATACAAAAATGCTAGATGTTTTTCATGATCCAGATCCATTAGTAAGTAGGAGTTAAAAAAAAGTTGCTTGACCCTTGTCATTAATTTTTATTACTTTTAATATACCATGTCTTTTAGGAAGAAGAAATTTCTACAGGTAGGTACTTGATGTCAATTTTAACCACAAAGCTGTCTTGTTGAGCACCAAAGACAATTAATCATTTATGGGAAAATTCCAAAGGAATCAAACTGAGTGTTGTGTATTTAAAGCAACAACAAAAAAAAGAGAACATTTGTGAACACTGCATGTGTGTGTGTGTGTGGGGGGGGGGTGGGGGTGGGGGGAGGGGGTGGGAGGGATAGGGAGAAGTCACATGGCTGATAATAATGATAACAATCTTTAAAATAGACTTACCTGTGTCATCATTCTTATGTTGGTAATGTTTTCTGTAATATCTTTGTTGCATGGTGGGGCTTGAGGAGATTCCACAGTTCTGTTCTGCTGCAAAACAATAAAGAACACCAAAATTACACACATACATGTAAGCCTTTTTCCACATTTCTGTAATGATGAAGCACTAAAAACTGAATTGAATCCTAATTTCATACAACTTCATTAGATTAACTCTCTATGATACAGTATAAAGTAAATTATACAAATTTATATGGGCCACACTTTTCTCAGGTTGCATCAGCAAAATTTTGGAATAAATTGAAAAACTGTTGACAATTTTAAAACATGTCTGAAAACATTTCTTTTTTAGAAACAATTCCCAATGCCAACTGCAGAATGTTTCTCACTTTTTTCAATTCTTTTTCTTCTTTTTTCTTTCTCTCCATTACAGCCCATAAGGATATATTTGTGATATATAAGTATGAGCTATAAGTATGGTATATCATTATTATTATATTTATCACACAGTTCTCCAAAGATCTACATTGTACTTACCATTGAATTTTGTACCAGTCTCTCCTCACTCTCTAAACAGTGGTTAATAAGCCTGACAAAGGCGAAAGGCTGGTTACTGAAACGTTTCTGTTAAAAGAAGATATGAATACACAGTTTGAGTTTGGTATATACTATATAGATTGACAAAACTTATAATACCACTTATAAAGTGATCAAGAAAATACTCTTAAAAATAATGGCTGGATCTCTCTTGTAAAACTTAATGAAGTGGTAGATGACATGTCTGTTCTGTATTTAGAGTACTTGGAAATGTGCATTGATTGGAATTTGCAAGCAAATCTTATGTAAGGACAGTTTAATCAAAAGTTTGTACAATTAATGCAAAATAGTTGTACATACATACATGCATTCATTCCTTTATCATAAGTACCATAATGTGACATGAATTATTGTTTGAGGCATGCTTCCTAATTTGTTCACATACATGTAGTCAAGTGGAAGCAAGGTATGTTTGAGTGACATTTTTATTATAACTACAAATATGCATGTATAATGTACATGTATGCCTAGCCAAAGACTAGACCTCCTGAGTCATTACATGTTTTGGGGCCCTTTTCCTTACTTTTTATTTTTATTGGAACAATAATTCTTCAAAGATGTCACCCAATATCACTAATGATTATTTTTCTTGTTGAGAGCCTCAAGGAATAGTACTATTATTTGCATTCACAGCATGATAATCCCCTTTGAATCGCATCTAATGACCACATAATCCCAAAAGGCCTGTCTTCATCAGCTCGAGTTTGCCAAATGATCTGCTATTTGAACTATCCGGACGCAAATAAACCAGTTAATTTACGTCTTCATCAGTCCGCAGTTGCAATTAGCAGGATATTGGGTCAAGAAACCATCCCGAGAAATCTTGGTCTTGTTTCCAAAATATCCTGCTATTTGGGAAATAGCGGGCTAATTTGCACCCATCCGAGCAAGTTTGTGATGAGCGTATCGGTCTGGTGAAGAGGCAATTTCGAGCTTCAGGATAATATTGTGTCTGAAAGTAGCAGGTGATTTGGCAAACTCAAGCTGATGAAGACAGGAGAATTGTAACATCCATCCTTAGCAGGAGCAAAAAGGTGGAGTACACATATCTAGAAAATACATCATCACAAAAACATGATACCAGCATGTCTCCTCAATTTCTTGTCATCATCCAAGTAGGACAGAGGGACCATAATAATAATATTAATCACAAGTACTCAAGGTGCAATGGGGAAGACAAGTTAAAACAAGGAAATATACAATGGCTGAACAACTCAGGATAGAAGGGAAATATACTGGAAAACAATTTTGAGTGAATGAGTTTTGAGGGTAATTCCAAAATAATCTACATCTGAAATCTTGCAAGATGATGTTTCCACAGGTAATTTGCAGTACACTGTATGTGCAAATGACCAAAGTGCCCCCAAGAAGATTTAGAAAAAGATGATTGTACATGTACATGTAGGTTACTGTTTGGGAGGACTGTAAAGCACTTGGGTGTGTATCCATATCTTGACTCTCTTAACATAGGTTCCCCAGTTCCATCTTTGCTTAGTGCTTACATCCTGGAACAAGGTGTTTTGTCCACTTTTGTCTATTTTATTCTTAATCTATCTTAAAATGGGGGTAAATGGCCACCTAGCGATGATGGGGTAATAGTTATTACAGGACCTGCAGAAAGACCTATCTAATACCCTTTTCTAACTGCACCGATTTTCATCGGATGCATCCGGACGCATCCGATGAAAGTGCCAGGTAGAAAGCAACAGAGGAGAAAAAGGCGATTAAATAGCCGATGAAAAGAAGAGAAATAGGCGATTAAATTCTCCTGCTCTAGAGCAGGAGAAATTCTCATTCTATCGGTGTGACACCGATGAAACGTGCAGTTAGAAAACGTTCGGGAGAAAAGGGCGATTAAAACAGCGATTAAAATGGTCAAAGGTCGCAGTATACGCGCACTTTACCGTAACCAGCTGTGTTTGTTGACTTATGGTTGAACAAGCTGCATGCTAGCTAGATGGAGCACGGGCTTAATAATTACGTAATAATTCTTCACTTCCGGCAAGGGCTCGCCACAGCGAGTAAATTTTACCGGCAGTTAGAAACCGACAGGGGGAAAACTGCGGTTTCACCTTTGTTTACATAAGGAAAATTCAATCGGTATTTTCATCGGTGTGACTCCGATAGAGTGCAGTTAGAAAAGGGTACTAGAGAAATAGGACTGATTAATTAATAATAATTATCTACCAAATGAACATCATACTCCTAGGCAGAGACATGTTCGTACATGTAGTTGGGGAAACATACCATAATACGGTGAAATCTGTATAGACTAAAGACAAGAAAAGCAATCTACACCATAGACAGGTGGTCCTCCTATGCAGTACATGTAGGTCACTAAAGCAGGTTTCACTGTAATTCAAAAAATATAAAGCAGAAAGTGCGTCTTACATTCAGTTCTTGTGTGAAGTTATTGAGCTTGAGCTTGATAGGGAACATCTCATCATCAGAAAGCTCTTCAATCTTTGCTTGGACCTGTTTGATCATCCCATGAAGTAGATCAATAGCATCAGGCTCAAACACTGGGTTATCAATGTCAATTGAACTCCTATGCGAAAATAAGAGAGAAAGGGGTAGGGGTAAGAGGGCAAATACAAATTGAACAGGGAACCATTCTATACATGTACAGACATTTTGAAAGACCCCCCATCCCCCCCAAAAAAAAAAAATAAAAAAAATGAATAAATAAATAAATAAATAAATAAATAAAACAAATAAAAAATATTTTTAAAAATATTTTAAAAAATATATATATAGCAAAAAAAATAAAAAAAATAAAAACAAATTCAAAAAAGATACTTCACGTTTTTCTTAAAACAATGAAACTTATTGAAAACCATTTTCAACAAAATAAAAAAGACAACAAAATGAAAAAGACAGCATTTGAAACAAACACAGGGGGAACACAAAATATTTTTAAATTGGGAAATGTGAAGTCCAAATTACAAAGAATCAGGATAAAATTGATTCTAACTTTTTAATATTCAAAATATGTTTTACAAGTTGGAAGAAAGTTGGAATTAAGGCGGAGATATGAAAATTGTTCTATTGCTCTGTAAAAGTATGTACATGTCCTTGTACTTCCATGTACATACATCATGAATATGTACATTGCACATTATGCGATTACATTTGGAATTAGAATCTTCATATGTACAAGGGTACACTTAAAATTTAAATTTAAAATAAATGCAAAATAGCACAAAAGTAAAGTTGGAATAGCCTGTAAAGTAGAAATGCGCATATATAGAAATACGTATATATAAATGTTTTAGTAGCCTACCGGTACAAGGTACGGTATGCTAAATTACAAAACTACATGTGCAATTGTGCATGTGCAGTACTACATGTACATGTGTAAGAAGAAGTTCATTTTGGAGATTATCAGAAAATTGGACTTTATGTTGTACATTATGTACATACATATTGTACATGTAGTGTACATACATGTATTTGAAATTCAGATGTGCAATAACAAAATTTACATGATGACATTTTAATCATTTAAATTTGGGTTCAGCAGACCACACATAAACCCAAATTCTAATTGCTTGTCTTCAGAACATCCTGTGTAAGTTGGCCAACAAACCCCCAAATGCTGCCAAATATTGACTACTCGCACCGACTAGCAACAGGGATTTCCCCTGAAGCCATGCGGTTCTAGGAATCCAACAAAATCAATGAGTGTCAATTACACTGGACGCTTGCATAGTAATAGTATACTGTATCTTATGTTAATGACATACTGCATACATGATTGTAGCATGTGGTACATGTTGTAGCTGGAAATGTGTACACTGTTCATGTACATGTACTGTATGAACAATAAATGCAGATGATATTTCAATATTATTTTTGAGACAAACCAGAAAAAAGAAGTTAAAATGTTTCAGAATGCAGGAATTCAAATGTGTACTAAGTATACAATTGTATGTTGTTTGTAGTCATATTTTCTCATGAAATTGAGTACACACTTTTAAGACATGTGAGATACACATCCACTGCATTATAAAGCTCAGCGGGACTTCCATGCAAAACTCGTTTAAAATACATTGTACCCCATACAATATGCATGGGATCAGTTGGGGAGCTCCATTAAAATAATTGCCCACTTCTCCCTACTTATACTTGCTGGTAATGCAGTTTGCATAATTAGGGGCTTTCAGCCATACTGGAGGAGAGCAGTAAAGTTACATCAACTCACCAGTTCTGTGCCTCTATCCAGTGTGCACAGTAGTATCTGATCTCCATAGGGAACTCCAGGTTCTGGTAGAGACCCTGGAGCTTCTCCAGGTCTCCACCCTGGAGCTGCTGGAGCTTCATGATAAGAGACATGATGGCGGCTCCTCAATGCCTCCTTCTCTACCAAGTGGATCTAAACAGGAAAACGTTGAACCTGTAGAAAGATATAATGTACAGTGTACAATCATTTAAAAAAAACTTACATGTAGTGTTAATTCTTTCAACATAGTTTTTGTCCAGTGAAGATGGATTGAGTTTAACCTGCATTTGCAACGAGATTCATTTCAATTTTAACAAGTGAAATACATAAGTTATGACTCATGCAGCTTCACAGTAAACAATACTTGGGTTTTATGCCGGTAATATCAACTTCTTGTCAACATGTACAGTATGTACATGTACACCATTATAATTAAACATCCGTTCAACAAAAAGTAAACTTATAAAACAAATTACAGTGTAACAGTATGTGTGCTATGTTGAACAAAAACATATACATGATACAATGTATCTGCCTAAACAAGAGGACTGATGAGTGATATTCTTTTTCAAGTTATCAACCATAAAGAATAATCAGTATGTGTACAGTCCAAAAAGACTCCAAATGAATAATTGATTGTCTCTGTATTCTACTCTAGGTATACCATATTATTATCTTCTTTTAGGTTTTGTTTTGTTTATTTTTGCATTATTTTATTTCTTTCTTTCTTTCTTTAACCATGTAGTGGTACAGTAACAAGTAGCCATGTTTGAATGCTTAGCTCTTGTCTAAATGGATCATCAAGTCACATTGTCACAGAGCTTTTTGATCATGTACATGTACCCTCCTCGCTTCAATGTTATTGCATGTAAAGTAGCAAAAAGGGGCGCAAACGCGTAACTCACCAAAAAATGAAAAAACTAAATATCGAAGACTGACATTTTTTATGGGTATTTTCAGTAGTGTACATCTATAACATGCATGTAAAATTGTAAATGGAATTTAAAAAAAACAATTTTTTTTCAAATGATTTCCTGCAATGTTAATGGGCCAACACATAAAGTTCCACTTCCTATAAATTTGTTTTTTAGAGTTTACAAACCAGGATAAATGTAGGCCTGAATATATGCATACACTGTACATGTAAATGATGATGATGATGATTGGTACATTAAACATACATGTACATGTAGGATAGATACTAGTAAGTAATTAACAACATGTACTGAACATGCAACTACTTGCCATGATGTACACATTGTGTACGTACATGTACATCGTAAAGTGGATTGAAAGTTATGTCACAATGCAAATGTACAGTACATGTACAATATGTACGTGTCGATCATATCAACTATGAAAGCACTTTTCATACCGGTACATTTGAAAACATACTGTACTACATCATTCTACATACACTGTACATGATTGTAGCTGTTATCATGCAAAAAAACCATGAATACATTACATCATGGGTGATCATCTAATAGTCGAAAGCCTGAAAGGGCAAGGCATCTCGATGTTTAGCAACTGGAGCAATAAACAGCTCATGAATAGATTCATGAATTTTATCTGAATCAAACACAAGAATATTAGTCTCCACAGTTTTTGGTTTCAACGAAAGCAGAACAGCTAACAGATTATTAAAAGATTCTATTTCAAGCACTATTTACTTGATATCTTCCTTTGCAGGAAATATAATATAAAACAAAGGATTACTAGGACTAGTGATCTATTTTTTGTTTAAATCTATGATATTACAAAAAGATCTGGTAACATCAAGGTTGATTGGATAAATTGTGCATACATGTAGATCTATTCTAGAAGTACATGTAGAATGCTATCATATTTACGTATGCAAATTTGAAGTTTCAAAGTTTCAAGTACAGCATGTACAAAATAAAGAGATTTAATACCATCATTCACAATTTCACTCATTCCTTCAAGCAAGTTTCAGAAGCATTTAAAAGTAATTAAAACTGCAATAAAGCTGAGCAGTATTAACAGCTGCTGGTTGGCAATTGATACATTAATTTGTAGTATTGCACACTGTACGCTCATGGCTGCATGTTACTGCAGTGCACATGTCTTACATGTACACTGTACAACCTGTGCCAGTGAAAAATTATAAATACAGTACGCTGTAGATGAAGAGAGTCAAAAGTCAAAAGAACTCTGGTGAAAAGATATACGACACAAAGATCTTTTCCAAGGGCATCTCACTTTTGAATCTAAAAAAATGGTCCAATGAACAAAATAGCACTTTGTTTGTACACTGTACCACATACATGTACGTATACGACAGATCACGATAGCAGTAGGCCTATCCCACAAAGAGTTTGACAGCTGAGTAAATGTCTTAAGAACTCTGTGCATTCATAGAAAGCATTCACTTAAACAGGCTACCAGCAAAGTCGAAGGAAAAAAAGAGTGTTTTCCCTTGGGGACATTCCCTGTAATTTGCTAATGAACATAGAGAGGTAGGAGCCCAATAGAGTTAATCACCTAATGGGCAACCTTGTTAGCAGTGCAGCGCCTTCTTCAATTAATCATTTCATGGAGCCTGAATCAAGTGGAACCTGACATGCTCCCATGACGATTGCTCATGCAGTGATCAATATGTACTTACAACCGCAAGTCTACAATCCTGGACAGAACATCAAATGTAACCCTAACCCTGAACCTAACCTACATGTAAAGCATCATTGAAGAAAAAAATATGCAAATGCTTAAGCTCATTCAAATCTACCAGTCTGAAGAAATAAAACCTGTACATGTCCACTGTACATGTATGTCAGAGCACCCATGGCGTGGTCCACACATAAAAAGGGGCGTTTACAAGTTGCAAGTAGAAAATGTTGGTTTTTCTCACATTCTGTAAGAAAATTCAAATAAATTACCCCATTAGGAAATGTCCCTGTTCTCCACTCCATATTGCAGCCTTTATGCAAGCTTCAAGCAATTCCAAGTACAGTCCTGGATTCCTACCATAGGCTAAAACCCTAAAACGTAAATCGTAACTGTATTAAGAAAATTGTTATTGTACAGCATTCTCTTGCTACACGTACTTGCACAGTATGTAACATGAACATGTAGAGTGTACATGTGCTACGGTGTATGTTAACGACTGTGAAAGCTCAAAACTTTCAAGTACCAGGCGCATGGCTAAGGTACAATAAGGTTTCATCCTTGAAGCCTAATTTGAATAAAGTACACAAATTGTTTATGCTAAACTGCTACAAAAGAGTCTCAGCTAAACGGTAAAATCTTGCTTTAGATACCACCAAATGAAATGATTAAAATGTCAAATTAAAGAAGAGTTGTTCTACCCTAAAATATTCCTAAATATCCAAAACTTCCTAGTACCTGTAGTGTACAGCAAATTTGAGTACCCGGTAAAGTATTCTAAAATCGAACGACAAGCTGACTTTACAATAAAAGAAGGAGTAGCAACAATAACTCTACAGAATGTGGCTAGGAAATGCACTGTTTGTCAAGCATAATGCCAATATTGATTTGGGGTAATACTATACCGGTAGCCAATAAAATATTGATCAATGCTTTCAATACTACTGAAGGATGTCAAGAGTGTCCATTCACATCATAAAGGTGGGCAGGTAAAACAAAATGGGCAAAAACCACAAGTTTGAGGGATTATATAATTAGTGTGCCTACCGTACCGTAAATCTCTGTGTATAAGACGCACCCCTATTTCTTAGACACTTACCGGTATAGTAGCAGGACGTCACTGCACAATTTATTTTGGGTTCTTGGGACTCTGGTACAATTCACATCCTTTGTGAAATGTAAAATGTAAAATATTTTGGAAAACAGCCCATCATCAGATTAGCAACAATTAATTCATGTACTGCTCATCATTAAATTATTTGTATGATAAGCTGATGTCCCATTAAAGGTACTATGTCCCTTTTGCAGCCAACCTCAAATGCTGTAGAACTTTGCAGGAATTATGAATATGTCATGTATGTCCTATCTATGAAATTTAAACGTTAGCAGTGTCCTCATATTCGAATTATGCAAGGAAACCCGGTTACTTGCTAGACTTCACTGTCAGACACTATTGAGTGACTGACTGGCTTTTTTTCTTCTTTGGTAATAACATATATGAAAAGAGTTGTAAAGGGTACATGAGCATTTGTCTACATCAATAACCCACTTCTTGTGATGGCCAAGATTAAACTGATTGAAACCTAAAACGTATGACTATTCGGTACAATCGTCTGAAAATCAAGACTATTACTTTTGGGCTCTATAGCCCTAAAGTCGATTTGACAACTAATAGTCGTTATTTTCCCACTTGAAGACGTTTTCAAGCCCCACATTTTTTTGGGAAGTTCTAAATTAGTATTATCTTTCAAATGCAGTTGGAATTTAACTTTTTCATTTTTTTGGCCTGCAAATGGGACATAGTACCTTTAAAAAGCATGTATTGTGTCAAACCCACACTTTGATGGGATGCTGGGGAACTTATGAGTACTGGTATCATGAAACAATATCCAGGTTGCCAGGAGGCCATCTTGATATGATCCCCCTATACTCATAAGATTTGACCCCTCAAAGTTACTTAGAACATCTTAGATGGTCTGATGTAACTCATTGACAAAAATAATATAAACCTTGATTGTACATGTAACTCTGCAGCAGATTCCTGCAGGAGTTATGATTGAGATGAAGTCACCAGTGAACCCTCTGTGGTTCGAGCAACAAGGCCAGAATACTGCCTATTTCGGGGGAAGGCTGACAAAGGTCAGTTTCATGACCAACTTGTTCTCAATTTGTCAAGTCGACTCTGATGCCGAGTTACCTCACATAAATATGTGAACAATTTTGAGAGAAGGTGACATTCAAATGCTCCAACTTTTTAAGAATTTGATGGCACTCACAGTCTTCCATACATTGTAGGTACCGGTAGAGGTCCAAGTATGAATGCACAATTACTCAAAGAGTGACAATAAAGGGGAAATCCACCCTGATATTAATGCCTCCGTCACATTTGCTCTAAAGCTAGGAAATGGCAACCATGGGCCCCCGAAATTGATACATGCAGCAGCCGCAGAGGATCTGCAAAATGGCCTCAGGGTCACCCTAGGCCTAGGGCATACCCCTATCTTTTACAGGCCGTAGGGGTCGCTGTGGGATTATAGCAGAGTTATAACTTTTTTCATTTGTAGGTTTGCCGGAGCAATTAAACACGTCGTAGCCATGCCGTAGAGCGGTCCCAAAGTGACCAACATATAACATACATGTACATAGTGCGTATGGTAGCCTTGCCTTTACGGTGCGGCAGTGCGGCTGCCCTAGGGTCTTATGAATTACATTCAACTTTTGCTGACCCCCCCCCCCCAAATTGAGGCCACCTAAGGAATTCCACAGGCGCCAAAGGGCAGCCTTAATCCCAAAACTTGATTTGCCCATGCCTTCACCCTGGTTAAATGATTTGTATGATATTGAGTGCATGACATTTCACAAAATCTTTTATGAACATGTACTTTGAATTTTTTTTTTCTTCTGGATATTGTATATTCATAATTATTGATCTTTATATAAAAAATCTATCAAACTTTACATTCTTTATGATTTAACTAAAAAAAATTACCAGTACTCTATATTTGTATTTTGTGCACCCACACACCACCATAATACTATCAATATAACTTGGATGCTGGTGTGAAGAAATAAGATTCTTAGGGGGGAAATGGGAAATTTGTATTATCAATATAAAGAAAACAATTAGACCTAGTGGATAGTGAGGCAATGACGTCACAGACTCATGAGTGAGTTGTAAGTAAGTTATTTTTGGAACGGACTTGGCCTTTAAGTTTGAAAAATACTCATTTTCGTCATATTTAAGGTACAAACTTGCAAGGTGTACTGAAATGTTCGTTGATTTTTCTATTTTCCTAGTGTGTACCTATGCTAAATGTGCGTCAGTATGTACGTAAATAATGTATGTAGGTCACCTGTTTAAAGCATGACATGTCAGTGTGTTATGTAATATTATGTATTGGCAGTGCCATCGCGCTTTCTGCTTAACTTAACTTAAGTGAGCCCTCTCTCGGATCGACCAATCGGAGCGCTTTATTTGCCGTTTTCTAGGTGTAGGGTCTATATGAGCAGAACCATGCGTAAAGTTCTATGAGACTAACAATCAAAAACTTCAGTCTAACTACGGTCACAAAGTGTGGACAAACGATGCGTTTGTACGAATCTCCGTTTTTCCATTGTCTGAAAATCGTTCGTACGGCATTCGTAGCAGTTCGTAATGGCAATGGTGACCGAGGCTTAAAAAAGTTAAAGCTAAGCAGTCCATAGAATTACAAGAAAAATAATCAATAGCATTAAAAAAAACTCAGTATTCAGCAACAAGTTTAGTGAGACTAGACTAGATCTAGATTCTAAATAGAGATTAGAGAACACCAAATCACCAACAACTGAAACAAGTTAAAAAAAAATTAAAAAAATTAAAAAAATGTTGTCAACATTATTACGGTAGTCATGGCCTAAAATTAATTTTTTCTAGATCTAGGATTATCTAGATCAAGTTACAAGGTTAGTTCAGTTTCCATTATGATGATGAACATGATGAAGAAGCGTGCTACTCACCGCGATCGCGCCTGTCTTTGGCCGATGCTATTTCGCTTTAGCAATACTGCCTCTGCAAGTGCCAGGATCAGGAGCGGTAGAATCTCCTGACCGTGTCTCGGACGCGGACTCACTCGACTCACACTCAGTCACTCCCGTATAAAGTGTGACACAACACTTGTTCAATAGAAGTCTAAGTTAGATCTAGTAACTGGGAAATGTTACTGTTACTGTTAGCCAAGGCAGATATGTGATTCTGACTCCATCAAAATATCTGTAGAGCAGCACAAGCGTTACTCATTCTGAAGAACTGGCATCGTCTTTAAGTCGAGTTTCGCGGTATCTCATTTCCCAGAACACGGGAATCAACCGCCATTGGAGCGGCGCACTCAAATCACCCTTTGGATGAACCAAGGTCACACAAAAAACGTACATAATATGCATGCACTGTATACTGCATTCAAGATAGGTCCAGGTACCGGGAGCGTAGCCGTACGATTCTCATGCACCGCACACCTCGCCTCGAAGTTAAGTTGCGTCGCGTCGTACGCACTGATTTTTCCGTAGAGATCAGTGGTCGTACGTGCGCACGTACGATCTGATATCGAGGTACACTCCCGATCACGTGACCTGACTTATGGCAAGCGCAAAATAACGACAGGTCTCGGCTTCGAGGGAAGGCGACGGCGCAAAGAATGTTCGTGGAGGGGGGGGGGGGGGGGGGGGGGTGGGGGTGAGGGGAGGGGTGAGGGGGAGGGGGTGGAAGGTATGACACCGACACCCTCAATGTCCGTTTAATTTCATCCTTAAAATTGTGGGAAATTGATATACTAGAAGCATTTTCAATCTTTGTGCTCGTTATAAAATAATCACGTTCAATGATATTAGGGCACTCAGTTAATTAATTATCATGAAACTTGATGCCAATTAATTCACGACCTTATTTTTTCTTTTATAACGGTGTTTTATCAATGATTATTTTGCACGGTGAGAATCTAACAGAATAACACCCCCCCCCCCCCATGCTCTGTACATGCATAAGTTTACTGATTTTGATTTGTCTCTCTCTTTCGATCGATCTCTCTTCTTCTTCGAGTAGCTTGCGATCGAGGTCTTGAAATTCAAAAATTTCCCCGATTAACTTTTAGTTTGAGCACTTTTTTGATAATTGGATCTGAGGATAATGGTAGGTGGGGGGGGGGGGGCAATTTTCAAGTGACTTAATTGTAATAATTTATCCTCCATCAATATTTTACCCAAATGAAAAATGTTCAGGCATTTGGTATTTTAAATCACCTACAGGTTTTCTCAGGGTAGTAGGGACCAGGGGCGGCGATTTCTTTTCATGACCGGGGGGGGGGGGGGAGGGGGTGGGACGAAATGCGAGGGATGAGGGAGCACTGTTAGAAAAAAAAATTGGGGGGGGGGAAGAAAAAATCTGCATCACCTGCATTGCTCTTACATGTTACATGCAGTCCCAGCGGAACGTTTTTCAAAGAAGGGGGTCGGGGTGGGGCTAAAGTATTTACGATCAGGTAGCAAAGCGAGCAAAACAAGTGGAGTGTAAATTGGCGTGGGGTCAAGGGGCGGAACCCCATGAAGCTCAAGGGTTTGAGGCATTTCATTACGGTCAGATGAGCATCCAGAGGGCGGAGCCCTGGAAGCTCAGAGGTTTTAGGCATTACGTTCAGATGAGCATATTTTAATACATACCTTATTTGTGACACCGACGTGCAGGTCCAGATGAGTACCCAGGGGCCGCCTTATAGCCCTTGGTGGGATCTTGGTGGGATCCGGATTCAGCAACATGTGTAAATCACTGGTATCGAATTAGAAGGAAACAAACGTTTGGTAGCTCCCCCCCCCCCCAACAGTAAGCCAGTGCAAGGGAGCATAGTGAACGAGAGGGGTGAAGGTGACGGAAGTGACTACCCCCTCATAGGTGTTTGAAGTGTTGTTGTATTAAAATATTACATTAATTAGCAAAACTATAGTATAAAAACAAGCAATATCCTTTTTTCACACTTCACTTTCTACAACTTTTACTTGTACCTTTTTATGTGAGGGAGCGTAGCTACCGAGCGAGAAGATTTGTGCATTTTTCATATGTCTAAACGCTGCACTCTTGGGCCACCCAGAGCCTAAAAGTGTGTTGCAGTCTTAAGTCATTATTTGCTATACACCTTATTTTTTCTTTTTTTAGGGGGGGGGCACTTTTTCATATTTTTCGGGGGGACGATCCCCCCTGCAAAAAAATTGAGAGGGACACCCCCACACACACACACACACACACACACCAATGCATGATGGTTCCTAATCATTTTTCTGAATATGAATTTCAAATTCCCCCCCCCCCCTCTCCTCCCCCCCCCTCTCCTCCTCCCCCCCTCTCCTTCCCCCCTCATTAGAGACGACGAGAATGATGCTGATTTGTTAATCTCAAAAATTCGGCAAGAAAAAAGAAATAGATAAATAAATGAATAAATAAATGAATAAATAAATAAGTAAATAAATATTTTTAAAAAAACATGAAATTCAAACTGTTCTTTGATACAATACAAGGAAGGTAGGTAGATGAGGGGAAAATGATTTTTTGGGGTATATATAGACCTATCAATTGCTATAGTCAGCAACCTTTTACTGTTAATCATGAGTTAATAATATACGTATGTCATGAATTTCAACATGATAATTTGTATGTGAATTTTAGACTCATCCAGAGAACGTCGGCTCATGATCTGTCGTGGTATTTTAAAAGAGAAATTCCCCCTTTATACTATTTGCTGTGTTTTATGAAATGCTTTCTTTTCTTAATTAGAGAACCCCCCCCCCCCCCCCCCCACCCCCTCAGCCTTGAGACAAAATGGTATGAAGTTTGTGCTCCCACCCGGTGCGGCAGCGCACCGTGGTATGTTACAAGTAGCGTTCCATAATGAGTATTATGACTTCCGATTCTCGGAAATAATTATCATATCATGGCATTTCCCTTTCGGAGAAACAAGTACGCACGTCACATGCATTGACCAAAATATTCTTTAAAAGAGTCAGGCGGATATATCCACCGTTCCATTTACGCTTTGACGTAATGAAAATAATTTGTTCTATTCCGAGAATCGTTTAATTGTATACGTTTTGGCAATAACATCAGCATTTGAAAAACAAATTATAGACTAATTTTAGAATAGTTTGCATTAGTTTAATTGCAATTAATAACAGAATTTTTTTTTCTCGCTATTCCACTAAAGTAGGCCTAATTTTATCTCAAAATGGGGAAATTATACAAAAGGGGGAATACTGGGAGAGGAAGGTGAACTCGGCACACTCGAAACTAGGGAGTAGGGAACAAAAAGAAATTATGATGATGAAAAAAGGGGGGACGGCAGAAGAACTATAGGAGCCTATCTTAATTGGCACTTGGGGGGGGGGGGGGGGGGGGAGAGGGGGGGTCATGGGTGGCCTATAGCTAGGCTGTTCACATACAAAGTTTGGTCTTGATCAGTCATATACCAAACGCAAAAGTCTTTAAATTATTGATCGTTGTGTAGCAGGTCCTGAGCCCCGCCTCCAACTACATGTTTATAGCTAGGTTTGTGGTATCCATGTATTACAATTTTATTTCACAAATTTGCAAGTAGATTCAGTCGTGACAAATAAATGGGGAAGGTGAATCCGGCCCCTCCCGATGCAATGGATGGATCACTGCATGGTGATGTATTTTGCATATCTTATGGTCCTTTCTCTTCCATCATGACTTGTAACCAACGAACTTAACGCCATTATTTAGTTTTCGAATTGTGTTCACCCTCCTAAACACCCTGAATGATTTCTCAATTTAATACTATAGATGACGCTTTGATTTTTTATTTTATTTTAATTTTATTCTAAAAGTGCAAATCATATTAACCGCATATCAATTTGTTTTTAAATGACAATGAAAAACAAACCTAAAATAAGTGGAATGATTTTGTTTTTTTAAAGGTCATGTATAAACGTGATTTTTAAGAACAACAACAAATGTTGTTTTCTTGTTCGTTTGCTTGCTTGTTTATTCGTTTTAAACGGATGTTGGTATATTGACCACACATGCTATATTATACTAAATCTTTCATTTTCCCCCTCAAAGTTAGGTCATGTCATATTGTCATTGCATATGCAAGCGCACTTAACTCCTACTCAACCTTCAACGTCTACCCTGGTGGCGGTTGATTTCGGGGAAAGGCATAGAAAAGATAGAAGAAAAAGAGAAAAACAACCACGTCGCTCAGCGAGGAAAGTAGGGAATTCATGACACACGTTATTCTCCCCACTTATGAACAAATTGATTCTCATAGTTTTGATTATCACTGTGATGGATGAACACCTCCATATGATAATATAAATCAAACCTGATCCAAGTTACATGTATACTGTACTTAGAAAATGATCTTTTGGTAAATTTCCAATCCTATAACAACCCTCCCCATCCCACTGGTCCATGGTACATCGACTGATTCGACTCATATTCTTTTTTTATTGAGTCAAAGCAGTTTTGACATTGAATGGAAGGAGAAACAAAATAAGCATATTAAAAAGGAAAAAATGAAGAAATATTTCTTTGAAAGTATAATAAAGTTAAGAAGAGAGAGGGAGAGGGAGGGAGAGAGGGGAAAAGGGGGGGGGGGCGGGTGAATGACAAAGCAGTAATAAGATTGGAAATAATGTACATGTACTTCTGTGCCAATTTCCGATGTGCATCTCCCTCTCGCTCTCTCTCTCTCCCTCTCTATCTCTCTCATTATTGTCCTCTCTGCCTTTCTCATCCCAAAACCATTTTATCCCCCATTGTGCTGCATGGTTCTCTAGCATCACTTCCAATTGTCTTGTTCTCTACATTTTACAAAATCAAAACAATAACACTTCCAATAATAATTACACTTGATGCATAATCCTACATTTGGTATATTTAGTGAATATATGCATTTGTATTGGTTATTACCAGATTTATTATCAGGACGCTTAGAACTGTTGTATGCTACACGTAGGAGAAATGCAAGCAACTTCAGAAAATATTTCATTCATACTTTGGCAATTACTGGCATCTTGTGGACTGACAATTTTATGATCTAATACAGAAAATTTGTTTTGTGCAGACATTAACAGTTGAAAGAAGCATAAATATAATGAGCTTTGGTATAATGAGGTATTGGTAACCAGATAGACATAGAATACTGGGTTTACTAAATAATATTCATACTTAAGAACTTTAGATTGTCTAAATAGAACAAAACATGATTAAAATATGTATAAGTCATTTGTCTACATTCTCTACTTATCTGAAGTCACAAACACATTTTCCCAACAATCTAGACATATTTTGCAACATCATTCATTATAAATCACATTCTTTCCATTTTTACTTCCTCATATTTTCCTCTGTTGTTCTTTAGCAAATACTTCCAATACTTCTCATCCTTCCTTTGTATTTTTTTCTATTTTTAAACACATTTTTCAATCTTCCTCTCCCTAATTCCTCAATAACTACTGATAAAGCAG